GAGGGGTGAGGGTCTATCACCCCCTTTTTCTATAGCCCTCCAAGTCCTTCCCCTTTGTGATTGTGCCTGTCTTAGGTCATCCCTCCCTTGAGGAATCTTACCCACATTGGCTAACCAGTCATCCGCCTGGGGCCAAGCAGGGTGAAGTAAAATGAGACTGAGCCATCGTCCCTGCCAGGAAGATAAGCTTTGTCTCCTTAGTGACTTATGGTGTCCAGGTCTCTTACTCAGCCTTAGCCATGGGGGGTTACAGCTTCTGAAACCAGGCAGGGCGGTTCCCGGCAGATGAGATAGTTTTTCTATCTTACACTCACATTTTAGAATCTAGTTTAAAAGACAATGCAAAAGAAAATATAGTGATTATTTAATTTTGCTGTTTTTATTTTGAGAGTAAGGCCAAAATTGTCTTAACTCTTTTCCAGCTTCAGATGGAAAACAACAGATGGGTCTCAGTTACAAGTAAAGACTCCATGGATGGCAAGACTTGAGAACTTCTTGAGGTCAGATCTCGGGAACACCATATGGCAACGCTGACATTTTTAAAAGCAAAGGATTCTTTATATTTTCAGAAATTCAATAATTTTATAAAGATGATGACGCTGAATTCCTGCTTTATTTTCTGATCATGAAATTGATTGTGGCTTTTTGACAACTAATAAATGCTATGTAGTTGCTAGAATTCTAATTGCAGTGTGATTTTAAAACAAGACATCACCACCAATATTGTTCTTTAAGAGTCAAGCCAAATATCCCAAGTGTCTAAATGACAATTTAATCCAAAGAAGCTATTTTGAATGTGTGCTCCCTCCCCTTCAGCATATTTTACCTTCCCATTTTCTGTTTTTTATTTAAGCTTATCATCTAGAACACTAATTGGCATCATAAAATACAGTGATCTGACTAAAAGCTGTTTTCCTTGAACCTATGGACCCTTCTTCAATCCACCTGTGCACCAGGTGTGGCCAGGCCTCCGGCCGCCCACCCACTGCCCCAGACCATCCATGCCAGTGGCACACATTTGTTCTCCAACAAGCACCTCACTCAGCACAGGCTCGCTGTCGTCAGGCACATCCCTCCCCCTCCCCAAAGCAGGGTCATGGAGCTCACTCTACAGAATCCTGGAGGAACTCACTAGGAGGTGGCTTTCAGTTCTAGCAGAGGCAGCCTGGCCTGTCTGCCCCGAATATTAGCTGGAATGCTAAACCTATCTTACTGGCTTAAAAAAAAGTGTTTGAACTGTCCTCAGTAGGGGCTGATGGAATGGAAGATGAAGACAGAGAATGATGGAACTAAGAAGCTGTTTAAAATAAATTTTGAATAATCATACATTTTATGTATGTGTCTTTGGAATGTTCATTATAAAATAAATAAACATCTTTAGTCTTTTTAATTTTAGGGTTTAAAGGTTTTGTTTGTTTTTGTGGGGTGGGGTTTGGATGGAAGGCTCTGGTCTATAGGTCCTGCCCTTGTGATATAGTGTGGTTAATTGTTTTGAATTCATTAGTGCTTGCATCCCATTGCCTTAAAATCTACCGGGACACATCGGTTGCCAAATGACCATACTTGTATGAGCTTATCTGATCCCTGTTATCTGGGTCAGCCATCACAAAATTCACAAGATCCCAAAGAACCACACTACTACTGTTAGTCAATATTTAGGAAACAAACTGTATTGGCCGCTGAGAGAAAGCCACACACTCAGCTTGGTTAATCATCTTTATGAAATGCGTCTTTATAAAAATCAAGTATGATTTTTATTTCCCCAAACCAAAATATCTTTTCAAAAATAAATTTGATTATGCTATTACAGTTGTCCCATTTCCCCCTTTTATTCCCCTCCGTCCTGCACACCCCCTCCAACCCGCATTCCCCTCTATAGTTCATGTCCATGGGTCGTACATATACGTTCTCTGGCTTCTACATATTCCTGTAATATTCTTAACCTCCCCCTGTCTATTTTGTACCTACCATTTATGCTACTTATTCTCTGATAACCCTCCATGTGATCTCCATTTCTTTGATTTTGTTCCTGTTCTAGTTGTTTGCTTAGGGTTTTTTTTTAGTTCTGTTGTTAATAGCTGTGAGTTTGATGTCATTTTACTGTTCATATTTTTAATTATCTTTTTCTTTGGTAAGTCCCTTTAACATTTCATGTAAGGGCTTGGTGATGATGAACTCCTTTAACTTGACCTTACCTGGGAAGCACTTTATCTGCTTTTCTATTATAAAAGATAGCTTTGCTGAATACAGCAATCTTGGATGGTAGGTCCTTGCCTTTCATGACTTCGAATACTTCTTTCTAGCCCCCTCTTGCCTGAAAGGTTTCTTTTGAGAAATCGGCTGGGAACTCCTTTGTAGATAACTCTCTCCTTTTCTCTTGCTGCTCTTAAGATTCTCTTATCTTTAGTCTTGGCTAATGTAATTATGATGCTGTAACAGGATACAGCCAGGGGGACCCCAAATAGGGACTTGTAATGGGGTTCAGAACTCAGGGTGTCCAGGAAATATTAAAAAAATATGGGATGTCCTCACCATCCCCAGGTCTGAACTGGGAGATGAGACACATGGAGCAGGGCCATTGAGTGTTGTTTTGCATAGCAAATTTTGCAAATAACCTCATGCATGGTCATTTGACGTACATAAGTTTTAACTGGCTTCATGGATATGTTAAATAGCTGTGGCCATGCTATGAGCCAGGGGGATGGGAGTGACTTCTACCCAGGATGTAACTTGTAGGCAACTTCCCCTGGTTACAGCACCTGTGTGAGAGCTTGCAGATGATTGGCTCCACCCCATGGGGCCACGCCCACCCAGACTCACTAAGGCAGCCAAGAAAGGCTGGAAAAAATAGGGGAATGCTGTCAGTATAACTGATTGTGGGAGGAGTCGGAAATGGGGCTGCAGAGGAAGACTGGCACTGGGATTCAAACCCAGGTGCGGCAGCCATGCTGGGTGATTAGGACCACGTGGCTTTGAGGTGCTCCCTTTTGCTAAGTGGCTTAGGAAGCAGGAGAGACCTTGTTGGGAAGAAGCGGGGTCAAAGGATTCTTGCTGGTGGGCCATGAAAAGGTGCCACATGGGTTTGAATTAACTGGAGATCTTGGTGGTGACACAGTTGATGGTGCTGGGAACTGAGGGGCTGCCTGACCCACGGACTTCTTCTTTTCCTGAGTTAAGGTACCCCAGAATGGGCTGATGGGGAATGAAGGACTGTGTGCATTTGTGGGTATTCTAAGGAACTCTGAGATCTCAATGAAGACATTAAGTCATTATTCTTAAGCTTGTATAACCTTTGAATACATTCATTTTCTTTACACCAATCTCCGCCATTGAGAGACGTCTTTTCCTGGTGGTGGGCAAGGTGAACCTAGTATGGGGTGGGGAACCCTGGGAGCACAAGAACAGGTCCACTTGGTAATAGTATATTGCTCACCACCCTCCCCCCAGGTCTGTTCTGTAACAATATGCCTTGGTGTGTTCCTCCTTGGGTCCAACTTCTTTGGGACTCTGAGCTTCCTAGATTTCCTGGAAGTCTATTTCCTTTGCCAGATTGGGGGAGTTCTTTATTATTTTTTTAAATAAGTTTTTAATTTCTTGGTCTTCCTCTTCTCCTTCTGGCGCCCCTATGATTCAGATGTTGGAATGTTTAAAGATGTCCTGGAGGTTCCTAAGCCGCCTCATTTTTTTGAATTCTTGTTTCTTCATTCTGTTCTGGTTGAATATTTCTTCCTTCCGTCTGCTCCAAACCCTTGATTTGAGTCCTGGTTTCCTTCTTGTCACTGTTGGTTCCCTGTAGGTTTTTCTTTATTTCACATAATGCAATTTTCATTGCTACCTGGGTCTTTCTTATACTGTTTAAGTACCCAGTGAATTCTTGGAGCATCCTGATAACCAGTGTTTTCAACTGTGCATCTGATAGGTTGGCTGTCTCGTTACTTAGTTGTGTTTTCTCTGGAACTTTGAACTGTTCCTTCGTTAGGTCCTTTTTTACTTGTTTATTTGCTTGGGTGCTCCTGTTACATAGTAAGGGATGAAGCCTTAGGTGTTCACCCAGGTAGGGCAACCCATATTGCTGGGTTGTGATGCTGTATGTGGGGGCGGGGTCAGAGAGCGATCAGTGGTGCTCGCTCTACTCTCTGCCAGCTTTCAGTCACTTCTCCTGATACCCATAAGCAAGGTGGGCCCTTCTGGTGCTGATTCCCAGTTGAGTGGGTTTTTGTGCATTTTTTTCCAACGAACTCTCCGGTAAGGCTGTTTCTCTTCCTGCTACCTCAACCCGCACAGGAGTTTTCAGTCAGAGGTTTGAGGCTTTATTTCCCAGTGCTGGGACCCTGGGTTGCGTGGTCGTTCTTGCTCCCGTTTCATCTGCGTGCGAATGTGGGACCATCTGGTCTGCAATCTGTGGCCACGACCCACCCACCAGCCCCTGCCTTACCCACCGTGGTCCACCATGAGTCCTCTCCACCCACCTGCCTGTGTCTACCCCTCTTACTGATCTGGATGAATATTTCTTCAACTCCCTGGTTGTTGGGCTTCCATACCATCTGATTTTCTGTCAGTTCTGATTGTTTTTTGTTTTTAAATTTGTTTTTGCCCTTTCAGTTGTGTGAGGAGGACACAGTGTGTCTACCTACACCTGCATCTTGGTCAGAAGTCCCCCAAATATTCTTTTAAATTACAGTGGGAATAATGGTGAATGATGTGAGGTAATATTACACGTAAAACAGCTGTAATTTGTTTACTATTTTTAGTAGCTTTATGTCATCTTTGGGAATCACTGCGCTGCTCCAGCTGGGATCCGCTGGCCTGTGCATCAGTTTTCAGTTCACTCACTGTCAGTGTGGATGTTTGCAGAGCTACCACCTGTGTCGCGTCCGGTGGGTGCCCTGGGGAACGGTCACGCTGGCGCACGAGTTACAGGTTATTCTTGGGAGTCGAAAATAATGTTTTACTTACAAAATACTTTTACATATCTGAAATGAGAACATTCTCTTATTTAAGTGCAAGTCGGGGTGGGGAAGGGATACAATGACTTCTACAGCAGAGGGGCACAGGGAACCAAACAGATTTGCACATCAAGTGATTTCTTCTGTATTAAACGATTGTTTTATTTAAAAACAGGTATTTAAAGGTACACATGTTGCAGCCCTTAAGGAAAAATAACAATTTTTAAAGTCTCTTATTTAAAATTCAGGGGACATAAGTATACAATCTTAAATCATAAATTCAGCTTTTTAGTTCAAATGCTATAAAAGCTTTTGTTCTGTTCAAAGACCTGTATCTTTGAAATACAGTAACTTCTTCTTTGCTCATTACCCTGTTATTACAATGTATGTCTACATTACAATACCCCGCAAGTTAGGAAAGCCCTTTGTATTTTAAGTCAAGCCCTTTGCACATTTCAAAGCCCTTTTGTGCTGGCCGTCGTACAAGAACCACAGCGTTCCAGTTCTACTTTGTTTCAGAGGAAGGCCATCAGGTGGCAGGGCTGGAGAAGGTTCACTCTACATGCTGCCTCTCCCCTGTGACCTGGAGAGGAATTAAGGCAGAAGGGGTGGGACTAGACTTTTTGGTAGGGTCACATGGAAAGAGAAGGGGTAAGGAAGGCCAGCTCTTGTTTCTTTTACCTTCAAACGGATGGAAGTTTGAGCAAAACCAGTGAACCCTGAACTGACATTCAAATATAAGTATGTCAAAATGTAGCATTTACTGATGAGTTACAGGATGATGGGTAAATTATTTTTACTTGCTACTTAAAACCTTCGTCTTTTCCAAATTTCCTCAAAGTATTTTGCTTGTTTTTAATTAAAAAACAAACAAAAAATACCCCAACATCTTTTGTTTGCCAGCATTTAGAAATAGAAAAGCAAAAAATAGCAGTGTGAGTCCCTGGCAGGGCAGATCTGGGAGGCTGAAGACAAAAATGGGCAGCGAGGCTTCTGAGCGGAAGGCCGGCTGTCGAGTGTGCTGCCCGCAGCACGCCAGGGCTTCTTTACGCACCGATCAACGCCACATTGCTTTTTATTCCACCTCCGTGCTCACGATGCAGCAGTTACGGCATTAATACGTTTCACCACAACTTCCTCATACTGTTTTTGTGTCAGTAACCCTTCTGTGATGCTTTTACTTTCTTCAAATTTGGGCAGCACAACTGCAATGTAACCTTCAGTGGATGGCTAGAAAAGAAACAGAACATGGAGCCTGACCAGTGACAAAAGTCAGATGAAAAATCTACGAGGATGCGATCATGTGCCCCCAGCCCCCTGCACCTTCTCCTGAAGAATAGAAGGCTTATGGAGAATATTTTCATTCACTTCCATCAATCGTCCTCGAACACAGCTGTTGGAAATAAAACTGTCTGTAAAATAATTTTACCTCCCCCCCGCCCTAAATTATGGTTAAAACGTAACTCACCTAGATACAGTGTATTCTTCTCCATCTGAGCAGTAAATCTTACACAGAGGTGCAAGCTCTGTTAGAAACTGGGCCCCCTGATCACAAAAGGTAACAAAAGGGAACAGGTAAGTGACTGATGTACACTCTCACTTCCCTTTGAGAGGCAATGCTCAGTGTTACCCGGGATACAGTCCCAGAATTAGTGTTCCAAAAAGTATTCATTTATTCAAACATTTGTATGAGTGCCTGCTATAAGCCAGGTTCTAGGGGAAAAGGCAAACTAAGACCCATGTAATAATAGCTAGTTTAAAGGTTAAGAATATATTTTATTAACTTCAAATGAGAAAGTTGCATATAGCCAAGTATAAAGATTTCAACAGTGTAGGAAAAGTCAGCAATAAGCAATAGAAAATTCAACATTACACAGTGACAGCGATATTGTACAAAGTTAGTTCCATTAAGATCTGTACCTTCTCTAAGACTTTGAAAAAGGGATGTTTTTCTAGTTAAAAAGTAATGAACTTGGAGGAAAATTTGGAAAACAGAACAGTTTTCAGAAGCAGGTAAGGTTTGCCCATTATCCTATGACCCAGAAGTATGTACCACATTCTGACATATACCTTAGAGTGCTATGACAGGGTTATTGTTTCAGGTACTTTAAGGATATCTGGGGAAGTTTCTGACAAAAATCTACAAGGATGCTCATGGGAAACTCATGCAGGTATGTTGCATGTGTTCTCTTTTTTTCCCTTCCTGGACTTTTTCCTGTAGTGAACATAGGCACGGGTCAAGACGCTGTTCCCTATGATCTCGATTACTGAAAACATTATTAGACAAGATTCACATATACCACCTTGGCTTCACTCCTCTGCATGTGGGCACTTCATTTTAAAATACTAGTCAGTGCAACTCCCCACCTTTAGGAGGAGGAGTTGGGTATTCAAAGGCAGAGGGTTTGTCAACCACTGCCACTGTGTCAAAGAGCGGGAGTGTTTTGACTCCTTTTTATCACCTCCCTTGTAAGAATAAATGATGGGGGGGTGCTGACATCCAGTCAAAACCTATCTGTAGTGGGTTCTATTTGCAGGTCCCTCTCTTAGAACATGGTTGTAGTAACAATGGTGTTAATACAATATTTTGGACAAAGATTTACCACAGGACTTTTTCAAGCACTAATGGTTTTACTTGTGATCTGTAGACTTTATCTTTTAAGAATGGTCCATTCTTTTCTAAGTCCATGTGTTTCCCGAGTGAGGAAAAATCAGGAAGCACAGGTCATGTTATTAGGAGATTGCAGGCCTACAAAGGGAAGTATAAACAGTGAGGGTTGTTGGCAGAAATTGTTAGTATGGACTCAGGAAATGAAGGACCTAAATCATCCTCTATGACTGATCCACTGAAGGTCATACTTTAATAAACTGTCCATCCTGCCCAGAGTTGTAGAGGGTAGAGATAACAGTTTGTACAGCTGATCATGATGTGGAGGCAGAGGGTGTGGCCGTCCATGTGCATGAAATTGGCAATGATTAAGGAATGGAAATGCCAAGGAGCAAATACTGTATATTTTTTTCAGATTCATTTTTTTACTACCTTAGGAATTTTGTTTTTTGTGTTTAATTTACATGTGGAAATACATGGTAAAGAAGAGTAGGTCACCTAAATTTTACAGAATCTTAATACTGGCTTACTAAAACTAGAAGGGACAAAACATGTCATTTTATTGGTATGAAATAAAAGACCCATTCAAAGACCCACCTTCCCCAGCCTCCATCCTGGGAATGACAGCGGTGTTGGTACAGAACCTGAAATGACAGATCCTACGCCACCTGAAATACCTCGTTTTTTGGTCTGAGAATTTCTTTAGGGTTTAAGTATTCTTAAGATCAGCATCTCAAATTGCCAGGGAAGATTACTGAGCATACATTACTGAGTGGACCTATCATTACTATGACACAGAGGATTTAAGTAGAGAATTACAGGCACATACCCGTTTAAATTTCCCAGACACCTTGTTCTGAAGCCTGCTACAGTTGGTACTGATTTGATAGGAAATGCTTTTAATTGTTTTTCCACTTTGAAGAACTGGATGAGCTTCTGCCAATGTGATGACACATATTCTACGAGGAGCAAACATCGATCCTGTGTTATTGCTTGGTACAGTTCTTCCTCTCACAACACAGTATTCTACCGATGAAAGAATATCTGAGCTGCCATTTGTTTAATCAAACTATCTTTTCCACCCATTCTCCTCTGGTGACTGTAGATGGGAATGCAGTTAAAAAAGAGGAGAGAGTGGGATTTCATATCCTTCCCAGAGAAGGGAAGAGTACAGGGTCCTAGGTAGCACTGAGGTGGAGAGAAGTAAGGCATGCCTGTATGTACAGGTTACCACCTGGGCCTCCGCCTCTCCATGGGCTCTGGCGGTTCAGTGGTTAAGCACAGGCTTAAGGCAGTAGCTGACTGAGGGTGTGGTGGTCCACCTGGATGTTTGGATGATCAAGTTTGTTTAGCTTAAGTAGGCACTAAAAGGCTCACTCTTGTCAACCAAAATCCTATAATAAACAATACGATTTCAGCACAATGGAAGATAATCATTTATTGATCATTTATTCAACCCAAGACCCTACCAGGCTACAATACCAGGCACTTTTTTTGGTAACTTAAAATTCCCAATTTGCTTACCGGTTAGAGTGCTGTAGTATACAGTGGTCCTCGCAGGGTTTTCCCTTGACATCTAGAAGAACGAATGGGTAAGTTGGTTGTGAGTCAATATTCACTACCAGTGTATAGTACGTTCTTTATAGAGATAGTTAATTATAAAGACCGGTCACTTGTATCTCTTCATTACTCAAAAAAGATATATCTAAAAGGCTTGCTATCAAGTATTTAAGAGATGTGACCAGATGGAATCATTCATCCTTAAAGTGATTATTAACTTTGTTCCCTCTTGCTTTATCCTCACTTTAAAATGAGTACACATTTCTATAAAAAATGCAATTAGCTATGCATTATTTATAGAATACAGTAGTGTATATTTTGTCAAGTCAATTTTAGAGTGCCTAATTCCTGGTTTGCCTAGGACTGTCCTGATGTTTGCGCTGAATGTCTCAAAATCCGTAAAAGCGCCTAGTCATTGGTAAATGGGGACCGTTGGTCACCCTAAATTTGGCTAGCTATTTTTTTTAAATGAGTCATCTGTAATCCTTGAATGAAAGACGGCAAGTGTGGGGTTAGAGGAAGATTCTCAACCAAACTCCCACCACTGACATTTACCGGGAACACAAACAACACAACAGAATACCTACTAAGTGGCAGACGTTTATAATACCAGTGGCTTCTTTTTCAGTAAAACTCTTAAATTCGGCTTTAGTATGAGTGCCTCTATTCTAACCCACCATCTTCTCTCCATCCTTACGGCTTCTACCTTAGTTATGACCTCATCATCTAAATCCCTTTAGGTATCACTCCCTAGAGGATTGTGCCCCTCAATTCCCTTCAGACCCTCCAGGAGATTGCAATCCAGCCCTTGCCTACTGCAGGGCCTCGCTCAATCTACACTACCATCTTTCCGATAGCAACCCACCCTGGAATTCGCACGGCACTCACCAGCCCCCGAATACACCCTGCTACATTTCACTCCAACAGGTCTTTGCAAATGCCCACTCCCTCCCGCTTGCAGGCAACAGAGAGGTCCAATTCCTTCCAATGTGGGGATGAAGTGCTGGGGAGAGCATGCATAGCTTCTAATGTGTTGGTCTAGTGGCCTAATGCATCAGGCCAATGTGGCTGACCAGAGGCCGACGTCATTCCCCGCTTACCCGCTTTGTACCAGCGAGTGAAGTAACGATCCACTAGTGACGGCACTGTGGGCTCCAACGCAGGCTCGGTAGCCATGGCGACCTCCGGGGCCGCTACCTCATCGTGCTCCCACGGACACCTAGGCGCTTCCTCCATCCTGGCTTGGAAGGAGGCTGTCCTTCCGGGGAACAGCACGTCCGGTTGGGTGCGTAAGGGCGCTGCGTCACCGGTCCTGCAGGCCCCGCCCACTGGCGCCAATCACTGGGCTTCAGGGTTGACGTCAAGGTGGGGCTAAAATTCAATAGGCTGGGTAGGAGGACCCAGCTTCTTCCATCTCTGCTGTGGCAACTTCTGGGGAAGGCTGGCCACACCCCCTCAGCCTCGTGAGGAGTCTCCCGCGCTGGTAGGCTTGTGTATCCTGCAGGTGTGGTCTGTTTCGCTACGGGGTCTTCTTCTCACCTGCCCAGCATCAGCCACTTTCTTCGGGGATCGGGCGGCCCGGAGGCCCAGTACGCACCGCACCACGAGAGCTTGAGAACCGTGGTTGGAGAGAGGCGTGTTCGCAAGCCGGAGCGGACTCCGGGAGGCTGGCTGAGCGTCGCTTGGGAGGCGAGGGTGGACTCATCGCGGTTTGGGGGTCAGCGCGTTGCATCAGGTGGGCGTTCTAGAGACTCTTGGAGGCTGGGGGCACTCTTCCAACCCGTCCCTGGGCGCCCGGGGCTGTCCTGGTGGTGGGAACCCCGAGAGTGTAACCTCTGCCTTCTGCAGGCCAGGGATGGAATGCAGCGTTACTACCTGTGCCCTGGAGCCTTAAGTTATTTTTGTGCAGGTTTGTCACCTCCTCTCCTGCGGCCACGGGTGGGGGAGGAGGGCTCTGCTCCCTAGCTGCACACTTACTGAACCGGCGGGCTCCTTGCAGGAGTAGGCAATACCGCTGAAAGCCAGTCGATTAATACACGATAGAGGTCTACGGTTATTGGAGGTTCAGATATTGTACTGCGGGTCCTTTCTCGTGCCTTGCAACTCTTTCATGGACGTGTTGACCGCTGTGCTTCTCCATCTAATGTGGTGTATTATATGGCCCTCTCTACCAGATCTTCGCCTCAGATTTGAGACAAATCTGAAGACATTCCCTGACAAAGTGCGCATTCCGTGTTTGATGTAGGCCACAGACGGATCGTAGGATTGCCTAGGTACTACTGTATAAAGGATTCAAGTTGTATAGTGACAGCCACGGAGGTGACCAGTGAACAATTTACTATGAAAAGTGTGAGCAAAAAGTGGGCAAATAGTTTTCAGGTTCAGGAACAGAGAGTAGAAATGCAGTGTCCCCAAATAGGGAAAGCGTTTGGTGGGAAAGTAGCAAGTACTTACTTCTTTTTTTCAGGCTGCATTTGATGTGTTTGTGAGACATTCTTGTTAATATAACATCAGGAGATTGAAAATAGGGGATTAGTGTCCAGTTTAGGGAGGGTCAGGGCTAGACAGATTTCTGTAGCATATTAGTAGTGATCTATCTGGTACTTAAAGTCAGAGGTATGATAATTAGCTCAGAGACAGATGGGTAAAGGAGCAAGGAAGAAAAGAAGTCAGAAATTTTGGAAAAGGTCAGGATTGATCTTTGGTGGAGAGAGATCTTTACGACTTGTGAAGACTGAGGGCTGGGAGTTGGAGACTACAGATGTAGAAGAAGGGATACCGATAAGTTGAGGTCCCGGGGAAGTTTGGAGGATACTTACTCCCTTCCTATCCTTGCAAAGACTTGGGGGCACTTGAGAAGTTATGGGAGTTAGGATGATGGGAGTGAAAATGTAGAGAACGAGTTAGTTAAATAGCTGTTGGAGGAACGAAAAGCAAAAGGGAACAAAAACAGTAATAAAAGGTAAAGTGACTGAAAGAGCAACAGCACAGCCAGGGCTGGCGATCAAAACAAGGGAAGCCCTTGGGATTATCATGGCCTAAACTTGGGGAGAGGCATTGTAAAGCTGGGGCTCGGGCTCGAACTTCCGGTGTCGACACTCCTGGAATTCAGGAGAGGAGCCCACGTGTCGCTGGATTTCAGATGTCTGGAGGGGCCTGCCTGGGTATTGTTGGTACCTCTGGGGATGTGGGTGATGAGGCTGGTCTTGGGAGTTCTAGAGACTGGGACCAAGAGCCCTGCCAGGGTGAGGAGGGCCCATTGCTGGGGTAGGGGCTAGTGATGGGGACAGGAAGATAACAGGGAAAAGTGAGTCATCAGCTCCTACTGCCTTTACCTTCCAGATTCTTATCTTGGAGGGTAAGAATCTCCACAGGCTATTGGTGAATGGAATCCAAGTTCACAGGGAGGGACATGAAGGTATTTTGGTGATCTGATCATGGCAGCAGTAACAGGGTGATTGCTATTAGATAAAGCAGAATGAAAGACAGCCAGGAAACCACACATTTGGTTGCCCTCTCACTTGTCTTCCTCTTGCCACTTAACCCCTCCTTCCTCCTCTCTCTAACCCACCCATCCTACACCAGTGGTCATCTTTATGTTTAAAGATAAAAGATGTGATTTTTAGTATGTTTTGAAAAGTCTAAACTTTCTGTGTTGTAGGATTAGATTTAAATTTGAAACCTTCATGGTATAGTATAGGTTCAAGTAATTTCTAGAAGTTCTTTTTTTTTTTTAAGATTTTATTTACTTACACCAAGGCATATCATAATTACATTAGCCAAGATTAAAATGAAAAAGAGAATTCTAGAAGCAGCAAGAGATAAGGGGACAGTCACCTACAAAGGAGTTCCCATCAGACTGTGAGCAGATTTCTCGAAAGAGACCTTACAGGCAAGAAGGGGCTGGAAAGAAGTATTCCAAGTCATGAAATCCAAAGACCTACATCCAAGATTGCTCTATCCAGCAAAGCTTTCATTTAGAATGGAAGGACAGATAAAGTGCTTCTCAGATAAGATCAACTTCAAGGAGTTCATCATCACCAAGCCCTTATTATATGAAATGTTAAAGGGACTTACCTAAGAGAAAGAAGATAAAAAATATGAACAGTGAAAGGACAGCAAACTCACAGTTACTAAAAGCCACACTTAAAACAAAAACAAACTAAAAGGACAGCTAGATCAGGAGCAGAACCATAAAAATGAAGATCACAAGGAGGGTTAGCAACAGGGGAGTGGGAGAAGGAGAAGGGGGGAGAAGGTACAGAAAATAAGTAGCATAGACGGTAGATAGAAAATAGATAGGGGGGGGCAAGAATAGTATGGGAAATATAGAATCTAAAGAACTTGAGACACGTGGTCATAAACTAAAGGGGGCTATGGTGGGGGAGGGGTGGACAGGGGGGAGGGGAATGAAGGGAAATAGAACTGTAATGACATAATCAATAAAATATATTAAAATAAAAAAAGATTTTATTTATTTTTAGAGGGAAGGGGGAAGAGAGAGAGAAGTATCACTGTGTTGTTGCCTTTTACGTGGCCCCTGCTGGGGACCTGGCCTGCCCCCCAGCCATGTGCCCTGACTGGGAATTGAACTGGCAGCCCTTTGGTTCATAGGCTGGTGCTCAGTCCTCTGAGCCATACCGGCCAGGGCTCTGCAAGTCCTTGAATGTAAATATCACTAAAGCTCACGAAACCATTGTCGGCCTTGATTTTTTTCTTTGCTTCCACCATGTATGGTTTTACCTTCCTCTTAACCCACATTGTATGTTGTGTCATTCATGTTACACTTCACATTATCTGCTGTGTAGGAGGAGGATTCAATCCTTTTTCCCAGGGTCATATGTATGAAATGCCGAGATGGGAGAATTCACCTTAGAACATGGTGGCATTAAGTCCGGCGTGGTCTGTGTCATTCCTGCCCCTAACATAACTTAGGGACTTCCAATTATAAACCTTGAAGGGATCTGAATATAAATAATCCAGTGCGTTAACATTTGTTTTTCTCCTGCATAGATAATATTATGCATTAATCAGCAGGTCTGACTTTGTCAGATCAAAGTAGGTTTCCTATTTATCACTCTTTTCTCACCTTTCTATTGCACTGGCAAAAAAGCAGGCCAGGAAAGCTGAGTCCCATGAAGTAGTTATATCGAGTCACCGCTTCCCAAATGTTGGTCATCATTTGGAAGTGAACTGTTGTGATTTTACAGTGTCTTGTTTTCCCTCTTAGAACCATATAAGCTTACATTTATTTCTGTGTTTTTGTGTAAATTTTAATTTTTAGTGAAAGTATATCCCAGTTTATAAATAAGTGTACCTAGTGATAATAAAGTAATTTTATTCCAGATTTTCTTTTTTAAGAATGTGTGTGCATATATACATATGTATGGATTTTTACATATTTTTACAAAACTACAAGGGTATACAGTTATCCTCATAGTAAAAAATAAAATGTTTTCCCATTTGTTTTGTTCTTTTTAACTTTCCTGAGGAATAACCGATATGAAATTTTTTTCCTCTTATAAGTGAGTGCTTCATCAAGGGATATTTGTACTTTTCTTTTCAGGAATTCTCCATCATGAGAAATCTGAAGTTACTTCGGACCCTGGAGGTCAGGGATATTCCGGCTCTGGGGACACCTCAGTGCTTCTCCCTCCGAACGGAGCAGGGCACAGTGCTCATTGGCTCCGAGCGCGGATTGCTGGAGGTGGACCCTGCCACCAGAGAAGTGAGTTCCAGTGGCGAACGCTCGCACCTGGCATGACTGTTGACTTGTCTCTTTCTAAACCTGCTTCCCCGGGATAGTCTTTAAAATTGTGCTGAATTTTTATCCTCCTGAATGAGCACTCCCTTTGCTTTGTACTGATGACAAATAGTAACTTACCTTTAACTTAACTACTGTTTTAAATCTGAGTTGACAGAACTGACCGTGTGTTTTGTGTGGGTGCCCCACTTTTTACCCTTTCTCCCTTGTACTGTTTGTAGCAGTGTTTCTCAACTGGGGCTGCAATGAAAACTGTGTTTCAGCCTCTATCCCATACCAGCTAAGTCAGGATCTCCACTGCTGAATCCTGAATATATATCTCTTTCTCAAATCATCTGTCCAGCCACGTAATATGAAAAATAGACATTTGTTGCAGAAGATACAAGAAACATTGTACATAGGACAGTGATGCTGCCGTCCCCTTCAAAGTAGGCAACTTGGGACCTCACACAGTTCTCCCAGTCACCATCAGCTGCCCTGTCATAGTTTCCTGAATATCATTGATAGTCTGAAATGTCTGCCCTTTCAAAGGTGATTTTAGTTTTGGGAAAAGCCAGAAGTTGCAGGGCACCAAATCTGGGCTCTAATGGGACTGAGTCACCTGGGTGATTTGATGTTTCACCAAAAAACTCTGCACGAGACACGGTGCATAAGCAGGTGTGTTGTGATGAAGCTGCCAATCACCAGTTGCCCATAGCTGCAGCCTCCTGAATCATCTAATAGTTTCTGTGGAGGACTGTGCAAGCTTAATGCAAAATTTGATGGAGGTTCATTGCTCCACTCAAGTCATTTTGAATGTGACACCCACACGGTACACATGCTTGCTGAATGGCATCTACCACCCCCACTGGTACAATGAAGCCGTCATTGTTCACGCATGTGTATTTCAGTCCATTCTTCTTGGCTGCCAGGTTACATCGATGTTGTGCAAACCATTCTTGTTCTATTAACGATGGTTGGACTTTTTCCAGACAGACTACACACACACCATATTTTGCTGTGTATAATGCACACTTTTTGCCCAAATTTTTGAGGGAAAAATAAGTATGTGCATTATATATGGGTAATACTAATTCTGTATCTATATAAATGTTTTAAATTCTTTTATTTATGCTTATGCATTAAAAGTATAACTCTAGAAATCAGTTACAATATCTATACAAAAATAAATACTAAGTTTCCCTTATAATACAAAAAACCAAGTATCTAAATGTAAATAAATACAATAATTGAATTAAAAAATTAAAATGAAAGTTTTTGTGCGTTTTTTTTTTTTTTTTTTTTTTTTTTTTTTCAGAAAGTTTGGGCGAAAAACATGAGTGCTTATTCTACATGGCAAAATGTGGAGCATACACACAGGGTGGGGCAAGAGTAGATTTATGGTGGTTTCTATGGGAAATAATGCAATAACTAGGAGGTAGTAAGGCACGAATAAACTGTTTCACATACTCACAACTGTAAACCTGCTTTTGTCCTGCCCTACTTTTGTGTATATTTAAAAGCTCTTTGGGTTGATTCTAATATCGTCCCCTACTTATATTTTGCTACTAATGTATTTTAGATGATTATGTTCTTAGTCCTTTTCTTCCATATGTACAAATCTTAGGAAATCATAGTTATTATCTTCATGTTTTATTGGAAACTTTAAAGGGACCAGGCTTCTTGCTTTTATTTTGCACTGGCTTGGCAAGAAGTTTGCATTAATTTTTTGTTAAAGATGGTAGGGTTGTAAGAGTCTTCAAGTGGAAGTCTGGATTTTAATCTAGAAAAAAATTGTTTTTTGAAAGCTTCTTTATTATAAAGGAAGCACCAAAAAATATTTTGCTTCTGGAAATGTTATGAATTGTTTTTGGAAGTAGATTGGCTTAGTTTGCTTGTGTATCTGTTCTGGTGAAAGGTGAGAAATGAAGTCCCTTTAGTGGCAGAAGGCTTTCTCCCGGAGGATGGGAGCGGCTGCATTGTTGGTATTCAGGACTTGCTGGGTCAGGAGTCTGCGTGTGTGGCTACAGCCTCGGGCGATGTCATTCTTTGCAATCTCAGCACAAACCAGGTAAGTGCAAGAGTCCACTGAGGAGGAATCCTTATGCGATCTCAAACGAGATCTTGTCTTGTGTGGAAATTTAAAAATTCATGAGCTGTAATATTTAAGCATTTTGCAAATTAGAGTTATTATATTACATATTTATTTACAAAAAATTGTTGGGATGGCTTTAGCTGTATCTCAGGGTTCTTGTAAAACTCAATTTTGTCTACCACACTTGTTAATCAGAACAATTACATGAAAAAAAAATCCTGGCCATTCTTGAGTGGTGTAGCTCACCTCTTACCAAAATCTGATCCTGAATTATAACCTGTATTTCTGTAATCAGAAAGTCTGTGAAATGTTTAGATGGCTTATGTTTTCTGTTACAAATGCCAATTAAGTCTCTCATTGATGGCTAACTTCAGAGTCCCTGAACAACAGGTACCATAGTAATATACTAATACTGTCACAGTGCATATTTTAGGATTACCGGAGGAGACAGATTTCAGCCATTAGCTTCTTTCTCTACTCTAGCATGAGGCTGACTTTCTGAATTTCTATTCTTTTTTTAAAAAAATATTTATTTTTAGAGAGAGGGGAAGGGAAGGAGAAAGAGTGGGAGAGAAACATCAATGTGTGGTTGCCTCTCACGTGTCCCCTACTGGGGACCTGGCCTGCAACCCAGGCATGTGCCCTGACTGGGAATCGAACTGGCGACCCTTTGCTTCATAGGCCTGTGCTCAGTCCACTGAGCTACACCAGCCAGGACTATTCTTACTTTCTTAATAGCAAGAGTTTCACACTGTTGTTTGATTCTTTTTAAACTTCTTTGATTACTTCCTTTGTTGTGACCTCTTTAACATTGATCATGCAATAGGAGTTATAATATTACTAATAATATAATAATAGTAGCTGACATCTATTCAATGTTTACAATATACCAGGTGCTTTTTTGAGTGCTTTTCATGTAAAATTTTACTTACTCTTCCCCGCAACCTTAGGCGCTAGACTGTGTTCCCATTGTTTAGCGCTAGAGGGTGTTGGGGCGCAGAGGCCTTTCATAACTAGGCTGAAGACCTGCAGTTAATCTGTCAGAGGGGATGTGAACCCTGGCAGTCTAAATCTGACGCCTTCGCTTTCAGCCATTCCACTTCGTGCAATAATAAATCTTACTTTCAGTTTATGGTAAGAAATATCAAAGCTGTTGAGTACAATTTAAATAGTATTTTTCATATTTAAAAAGCATGTTTTTACTTTCAAAATATTTTTTTGTTCACGATCTCTTTATTTTTTTTAAATTTATTATTTTTATTTAATTATTATTCAAGTACAGTTTTCTGTCTTTTACTCCCATCCCAGCCCACCCCCCAACTTTCAAAACACTTTATGGCATTTTTTCCTGATTACCGAGCTCCTTCAGTCCATGCATGTGATCAGAGGGTGCACATCCTCTCCATTTGTGGCTTCTCAGAGGAAGGAGGCGGAATCCACGTTCTTCACTGCGCTTTATAAGGAACGCCTTTCACTCTTTGTTCCCCAAGTTCTTTTTAGCCTTTTCCCTTCCCTGTCATTCCTGTGTTTATTGAATAAATTTACATTTATGTGTTCCGTTTTTAACTGTTCTGACTAAGGGTGCAGTGAATATCCACTGAGACTGTGGAGTTTTGAAATGTCTCTTATCTTTCTCCGCCTGTCTCAGCTGGAATGTGTCGGGAGTGTAGCCAGTGGCATCTCCGTCATGAGTTGGAGTCCCGACCAAGAGCTGCTGCTTCTTGCTACAGGTGAGCTGGTCGTTAATCCCCACTGACTTTTATAAAACGTGGCTCCTGATATCTCACAGGGCTACATTTTGGGCTGTGTAGGTTTCAGAAGTTTTCTTTGACCAGTTATACCACCATTATAATTTAGAGAGGAGGGCTATGTGATCTTTCATGTTAGCTTTACATACATAAATAGCTGAGAGTAAGCACCACGTCAAGAGCTCTTTTTTTAAAAAAAACGAGAGTTAAAACATTTTGAATTGTGGGGGCGCTCTGCCCACAGGACACCCCCCCACCCTCTGCTGTCACAGATGAGAATAAGTCTGCCAAAACATGATCTGCTTGGGGAGGAAAGGTGGCCAGTCTCTCAGAGGAGAAGGGCCAGGAGCCTGTTCCTCAGTGGGCTCTTACTGGGTTCATTTTGCACAGGAATACAGGTAAAGCTCATCAGTCATTGTCAGGCAGTAAGAATCGAACAACAGATAACATTCAAAGAACTTTGAGGGCTTATTCTGAGTCAGGGTCAACTAAAGGGCTATAAAACTTTGGGAAATGAACTTATTTCCTGCTTGGACCCTTATCAGAAAATTGAGGGCATTCTTAGCAATGCAGATTTCACAGGATTTTGTGCATTTTATCTTAGGCTTCGTGGCCCTGGGGAAACTGCCCTTTCCAGCACAGGGCCGCACCCACCTCCAGCATTGTTTCAGGCTGAGGTCAAGCAAGGGAAATGGGACAGGCAAGAGATTAGGAGACTTCTCTCAAACAGAATGAGGACTCAGGCTATGTCAAAGCTAAGGGGTGAGGGTACATCACCCCCTTTTTCTATAGCCCTCCAAGTCCTTCCCTGAAGGCTCCTTCATGACCATGCCTGTCTTAGGTCATCCTTCCCTTGAGGAATTTTACCTGTCATTGGCTAACCAGTCATCCGCCTGGGGCCAAGCAGGGTGAAGGAAAGGGGCAGAGCCCTCGCCCCTGCCAGGAAGATAAGCTTTGTCTCTTTAGTGACTTACAGTCCCAAGGTCTCTTACTCAGCCTTAGCCACTGGGGGTTTACAGCTTCTGAAACCAGGCAGGGCGGTTCCCGACATTGAATGAATTCTGTCTGCCTCCTTCTGACTATGAATTCCACTGATTCATATGGAATATGTAGCTTCCAGTGCCACTGATACTTATAGAATAGCAAATTTATTGCATGAAAGTGAAATCATTCTCGTTTGTGTCCCTCCAAGGTCAACAGACCCTGATTATGATGACAAAAGACTTTGACCCAATCATGGAACAGCAGATCCACCAGGGTGATTTTGGTGAAAGTGAGTGTAACTTTGTTTGAAACATTTAGTGACCTGATGTTCCTCTCAGGTTTGATCATTTTCTTGCACTCTGAATGGTATCCTAAACCCAAGGAACTGTGAAGCTTGAACTCCCCTTTGTTAAAGGTCTGCTCGCCCACTTCCTTCAACATACCCCGGGTCTTTTTTTTTTTTTTTTAAATAAATTTTATTTCTTTATCTTTAAAAGGGAAGGGAAGGAGAGAGGGAGAGAAATATCAGTGTATGGTTGCTTCTGGTGCATCCCCTGCTGGGAACTGGCCTGCAACTCAGGGAACTGGCCTACAACCCAGGCATGTGCCCTGACTGGGAATCGAACTGCGATCCTTTTGGTTCACAGGCCCATGCTCAATCCACTGAACTATACCAGCCAGGGCTAGCACACCCCGGATCTTGAAAGGCATACCTCTGTCACCTCTCAGGCCTGAGAGTCAGCTTTGTCAGTGGCCTTGGGAATAGAAATCTGCTTAACATCACCTAGGTCGTTGTTGCCCCAAGCCTGGGAAAGGCGTAGGCTGGAGGTTCGATGAACGGGACTGTCCACTGGCTAGAGTGAGGAGAGCATTTCTGGGATGAACTTCAGGGAGAAAACAAGAAAGGTCCGAGAGAAGGCTGATTTTTAACCTTTGCTGAGGTCTAAATTCATGCTTCTTGTTCCACCAACTCTGAGACGTCACTTGGGAAAGCTGCTGCTCATTTATTCATTCAAAAGTAATTTATTCAGTAATAATTTTTGAGGAGGGGAGAGCTGAGCAGCTTTTGGTGCTGTGGATAATTTGGCTTTTCTCTCAAGGAGTCCCATTAAGGAGTTCAGTGATTGATGTGTGGGCATTAGGGTGGCATTGGCGGAGGCAGTAGTGGAGGGGAGAGTCTTCTCAGATGAGGCGACTTGTGCCGAGTGCCAGCTGAACCGGTGCTGGGTGGACGAGGACTGGGGGAGGGGGGTCCAAGCAAGCGGATGAAGCCATTCAAGGCAGGGCTCTCTCACAGAAGCCTTGGCACATCATGGCTCCTTTAGACAACTGTGAACACTTATGCATTGATGGTGCACAGGATGTGAGTGAGAAATAAGATAAAGAGAATGCGTTTTAATTACGTTTGGTAGGGAATTTGGACATTGAGTTATAGGTGATCAGCCTTTAAAGGTAATGAGGACGCAGGGCAGACGGAGTGATTGGTAAGAGGCTGGGAACCTGGTTCGAGGTTGCGGTGGGAATGCAGGTGAGAGATAAAGAAGGCGAGTGTGAGCCAAAAGAGAGAATAAAACATTTAGGAAAGATTTGATTCTCAATGAGGATGGGAGTACATGTTTGGGAATTTACTGAGAAACTTGTTTGGAATATACGTGCATGGTTCCTCCCCTGCCATAACTAGTTTGAGAAATAGCAGTTTAGAAAGTGAAATAAGTCAGCTTGGGTGTGTAAGGGGAAGAAGAAAGTTTAATGGGACTGCAGTCAGCAGCTCCGGTGGCGGGAGTAAAGATGCCGGGACATGAGCGGGAAGGTGAAGGACTCTTTGGGGCTACTTTCAGGGATCGCCACGTGAAGCAGGCAAGTATGGGGCTGAGTCGCTGGTGTGCAGGACTCTTCACAATCTTGGGAGTAGGCGAACTTGCTCAGGGAGCTGCTATGGTACTGGAAGAGTAGACCCAGGGCTGCACTCTGGGACGTGCAGCTTGGAGGACAGTCATGGAGACGGCACACCTTTGCATAGGAAAGTGCCCTGGGCCCAGCTAATCCCACCAACTTTTTTTATAACAGCCTTAATAGAGTGAATCAAGGGAGCAAGGGAATTTAGGTTAGGGTCTTACATCTTAGAAGTGTCTTTGTCAGTGCGACAGTCACCCGTGGAGTGGTGAGCAGATATTTTTCCTCTAACCAGAAATAACTTGCTCCGAGGTTGACAGACTTGCTCTGTTAAGGGCTTTGCAGGCCACATGGTCTCTGTTTCAACCACTCAGCTCTGCTGTCTTGGTGTGAAGGCTGTTTAGAAGACGAAGGAACAGACGCGGCTGTGTTTCGGTAACAGCTGATCTGTCAGAGCAGACGCAGGCCGCAGTTCTCTGATTCCGGTGGTGGCCCCGTCGCTTACTGTCTCTTCCCACTGGGAAAGTCCCCTTGCGTCACTCCTTGGTCCTTCACCTCTCTGAGGAAACTGAGGTGGAAGCCCAGGTGTGTGCACAGGGTAGCGCTGCTCTTTGCGCCCAGAAGCAAGGTAAGCTCAGAGGTACTGCAGTACTTGGATGTGTCAGTGCAGAGTAGGTAGGAAATGGTCATGCTGACCCCTAATTTATACAGATTTTAAACAGCCCACTTCATCGGCATCGGAATCAGTGGTGGGAGGGAAGTGTTGGGCCTTGGATCTGGCCAGGGCTTTGAGGGGCACCTCGGTAGTCCTTGTTGGCAAGTGGGTATCGAATCCTGCCTCCAGGAACGGGGCTGCTTTGTTTCAGCAGCTCTGACTTCGTGTTTTATGTAAGGGGAGCGTCATGATTTAGAAAGAACCTCAGCCTGCAAGGCAGATGCCCTGTGTCCTGATTTTGGCCTCTGCCACTGGGGGTCCCCGTCTGTCTGTGTGAGGAGTTGCATTCTATCTTCTCCTGTCCCTCCTCCACTAACTGGAGAGGTTGGGGACATTCATTGAATTGGACCCTTGAAATTATAATTTTATTCCCAGCACTCATCTTGTTTTATGTCTTGATATCAGTGGATATATTGTATAAATTCTCCATGTTTCGTTCCTCTTACTTGTTAAGTGGGGTGGATTGCTGAGGGTCATCAAGGGAATTAAGAATGTGTGTTGGCGATAAAGCTCTGTCCAAAACTAGGGCACTTCAAAGCCTTCAAATACTGTGGCAAATAGTGTGGAACATAGGCTTTGTTGACTGCTGGTCCATTTATTGAGGGGTCCCAGGACCCAAGTAGTTACCAGTTCCTGACTTCTTGAAGACTAGCAGTGAACCTGCTTTTGTTTCATTTCGTTTAGCTTACTGGTTGTCTCACCTGTTCTCACTCACTTGTTCCCTAGGCAAGTTTATCACTGTTGGATGGGGCCAGAAGGAGACCCAGTTCCATGGATCCGAGGGCAGGCAAGCGGCCTTTCAGATGCAAATGGTGAGGTTGGTCTGATGGATAACGGAACTTGATCGGGACGAGTAAGATCGCCACCAAGTATGATTTCTGCCCCCCGCTCCCGGAGCCCAGGGGTCCAGCTAGGGGCTAATAATGAACAGATGTCTTGTGCTTTAGTGAGACTGAAGCTGTTTCGAAAACCACAGGGAATGGGTCACCCAAGAAGGAGTTTTTTCTTTTTTAATGCCAAGCTGCTTTGTCATTTTTCTCAGTGTACAGAATAATTATAACCAGTAATTCAGTTTTTTACAAAATGAATCACAGAACTAAAACCCTGAGTGTACCCCCCCCCTCAATACCTATATGGTGCTGCAGTCCTGCACTCACTGTTGGTCAGCCACACGCATGTTTTATGTTTTCCCACATGTAGTTGTCAGGTAGTCTTTCAGTTTTTCCTCCCGAGTGAAACTTGCGGTTTTCCTTCTTTCTGGATACATGTGGCAGGTAGTGACAGGGTTTGTTGATAATAGATGAGGTGTGGGGTGTGAGAGAGTAGAATTGAGGAGGATTTGGGGCCTGAAGCGTCGTGGGTATTATCTGAAGAAACCTCCATGAGCTGCCCTTCTAGGATAAAGGAGTTAGTGATACACCGCCCGCCAGTTACGTCTTCCGTCCCTCCTTGTTTCCAGCTGTGTTTCATGTGACACGCTCTTCATCAGGCAGCTTGGAACCGCATGTTTGGTACCACGGGGCAGTTCCCTTTAGAACAGACTTTATTAGCTTGCCAGTGTGTTCCCGTGGTGCACACGCGGCCTGTGTCATTCTGACTCGGCCTGTCCCTGGACATGATGCTGGGTGCTCAGGTGGATCTGTCCCCAACCCGGCAGGGCTGGCTTCTGTCTTCAAGGCCTTCAGGATTGAGATGCAAGTGACACTGGAAGCCGGCCTTCCTCTGGGACAGTGAACACAGAACTCGCGTGTGGTCGTCATTGCGGCTCCCTTTATGGCCTGTGGCTCAGCTCTGCTGCGCAGGGCTGTAAAGCTTACATAACAGATAGAGCTCTACTCTCGTAGGTTTAGACAGACAACATCTATTTCTTTGTGTTGGTTACCTGGTGGGTTTCTCAGGTCACCGTATTTTTTAATGGAAAATATTTTCCACTTACTTTCCTAGTCTGTTTCTTTTTTCCCTGTTTGTTGAATTTACTGGGGTGACTGGTTAACAAAACTATACAGGTTTCTTTCAGATGTACAGTTCTGTAATCACCTGTACACGGTGTTGTGTGTTCACCACCCCACGTCAAGTCTCTGGCCATCACCGCCGTTTATCCCCACTATGCCCTCCTGCTCCTCCCTCCCCCCATCTTCCCTGTTTTTACTATCTGGAGCTGCAGCTTTTTTCTTCTGCTGACTGGAGACTGCTTTTTTTTAATGCCCAAAAAGGGATTTTTTTAAAGATTTTATTTATTCATTTTTAGAGAGAGGAAAAGGGAGGGAGAAAGAGAGGGAGAGAAACAGCAATGTGTGTTTGCCTCTCACACACCCTGTGCTGGGGACCTGGCCCACAACCCAGGTATGTGCCCTGCCTGGGAATCGAGCTGGTGACCCTTTGGTTTGCAGGCCAGTGCTCTATCCACTGAGCCACACCAGCCAGGGCAGGATTTTTTTTTTAAGTTCTTTTCTCTTATTGATGATTTATGGATGTAAGGGTCCTTTTATTAGAAGAATTCTTGAGGTTTCTATGAAGCTGGTTCTAGGTATCTTAAACCTTGTGTACAAGGTTTAATGGCTTGTACCTTGTTTGATTCTGGGCCATTTAGGCCATGAGTGACATTTGGCTTTTGTCGTCTCTTTAGCTCGAGCCTGCTTTGCCCTGGGATGACCATAGCCCACGAGTTACCTGGCGTGGTGATGGACAGTTTTTTGCTGTGAGCGTTGTTTGCCCAGAGACAGGTATGGAAACAACTTTCAGTTCAGCAGAAGAATTTTTTATGTTACTAATAAGTTCGAGAAAGTTTTTTTCTTTTTCATTGAGGGTTATTCTGCTGCTTTGGTTGTTAATACATTTAGAGCTAAGATTTCAAAGTGTTCTTTGAGGACGTTTGGTCTAGCTTCCTACCGAACTCAAATATTTGAGTTAGATGCAAACATTTAACAAGATTAATCTAATTGGCCTTGTGAAATAGTTTTTATTAACAAGGGAGGTGTCTGAAAAGTTCTGATTGACAGCATCTGTCATAATGCTTTAAGTTTGTTTTTTGCCTCTCCTTTCCCACCCCCCGCTTCTACCTGCTGCACAGGGGCTCGGAAGGTCAGAGTGTGGAACCGAGAGTTTGCTTTGCAGTCAACCAGCGAGCCTGTATCGGGACTGGGCCCGGCTCTGGCTTGGAAGTGAGTGGGAGGGGAAACCTTGTGACTCCTTCCTCAGAATTTCCTGGAACCAGGGCAGGGGTGGTGGTACCTATTGCATCTACGTGTCTGTGTACCACAAAAAGATAATTACTTTTTTTCATTTGGCTGTAAGCCTGTATGTCTCTTTTCTAGTTCCCTGAAATTGGACTTCAATTTGAATAGCAGATTATGCGCTTCTTCAGTTCTCCTCATCATTCCAAGGCCCACATGTTCTGCACGTTGTAGGCAGGGGCTCCACGAAGCCATTGTGTGCAACAGAGAAAGGTGCTCTGAAGGGCAGTCGCAGTCGGCACAGCCGTGTGGGCAGTGGAGCTGCGCAGAGGACTGGGAAGAGGGGGCTTCTTTTCCCTGCACAGACTCCCACACCGCAGGCATCTGTTTTCGGAGCAGCATGCGGGCTGGATTCAGGCCTGACCCCCCTCGGCCCAGCCCCCTAGAGCCGGCCACAGCCTGCCTGCGATACGTGGCTGCCCTGAGGACGGATAGAGGAATTCCTCTGCCCGGTCTCAGCAGCCCCTGTTGCACGTGAAGCCACTAGGGCGCTTGGATTTCGACATCTTGTGTCCCACTGGTATCTGAGTGGCAGTTGGAGGACAGAGCACAGAGAAAAATGTATTTGTATTAAAACCTAGCGACAAATATAAATGAGGTGATTGAGAAGTCTGTATAAATTCCTACCTGAGCATGGAATATTGGCTGCATTTACCTACTTGAAGGAAAAACAGGTTATGGTTTTATAAGGCATTATAATGGAATGGTTTAAATAATGTATTGGTTTTTAAACAAGTCACCCAGGTGCCATCTAAACCTGAGGCTTTGGGGGGAGATAGAGGCTTTGTGCAGATAGGCAAAGGCACTCTTTCCTCTGGACACGTCAAGTCCCACGCCAGGGTGCCTGCTCACCGGGAGACGCCTGGAATTTAAAACTTCTTTGGGGTTTTTTCTTTTCTTTTTTTGTCTTTGCTGAAAAAAACATTTCTTCTCATTTTACCTTGTTGTAAGCCAGCTGGATACCCTTGGGGGGCCTTCTAACACTCTGGGTTTGCTCTCAGGCCCTCCGGCAGTTTGATCGCATCCACACAGGACAAACCCAACCAGCAGGACGTTGTGTTTTTTGAGAAAAACGGACTTCTCCATGGACACTTCGTTCTTCCTTTCGTCAAAGATGAGGTTAAGGTAGGTGTCTAGGTTGTTTGACCATCAACTTCAGAGGTCTTTACGCAGCTGTAGAGAAGGCTTGTATTTGATGTGGTGTGTAAATAGAAACTCCAGTGTAGTTAGTAATAAATATAGTGGCTGCTTAAAACTGATTTTTTTCCCTTAAAAAAAAAGGCAATTTTCCCCTTAGAGATTGTTAAAGAACAAATGACATTTCTTTTCCACCCTAAATAAAACATAGATAGGAAATAGAAATATTAGTTATTATTGTTTGTTTTGACAAAAGTATAACTCCAGTAATAAATATATTTTTCATTCATAACACTTCAGCCTTAAGCAGCTTATGTACCATTAGGATCTTCGTTGACACAGACGCACATCAGACGGTCATCTTAAATGTGTGAAAAGTTGACAGGGGAGGTTCACGAACTCCCTGGCACCTGTCATTCGTAAGATACCAACATTTTGCAAAATTATTTTTATCTGTCCACCACTCTCTGGCCTACACACACAAACACTCATATACATACACATTTTTATTTTCTAGGTTTCTTTTAAATTCTAGAAAATGAACTTTTAATATTTATTTCTAACAGTTAAGGACATTTTTATTTAAATAATCACAATTACATTATTATCACATTTTGCAAAATTAGTAATCATTCCTTCGTATTATCTAATAGCCAGTCCATATTCAAATGTCCTTGATTGTCTAAAATGTCACTTTGCATTTGGTGGTTAGGTCTTTTTTAACCTTTAAGCATGATGCATTTTTAAAGGCCTCTAAAATCACATATCACACAGACTTGTTTAAGGGCTCTGTAGGTTAATAATTTACAGCTGGGGTCAGCTCCAGTCGTGGGATGGCTTGGTTGTGAGAACAGGGAATTCAGGGGACAGATTGGAAGTAAATATGTAGGTAAAGGACAATGACAGGTTTTTTTTCCCTGTTAGGTGAACGACCTGCTCTGGAATGCGGACTCCACTGTGCTGGCAGTGTGGTTGGAAGACCTTCAGAGGGAAGGAAATCCCGCTCTAAAAACCTATGGTGAGACAGCCGCATCGTCTCAGCCTTTTGTCCCACAAGATGTAGTTCAAAGTAGATGTGGTGTTGCCCTTATCCCTCGTACTCAGTCCTGTGGTGGACTCTGAGACGGGCAGTGGTTAGGTTTCGGTTATTGAAGATTTCCGTCACGTATCAGTCAGGGGTCTGTAGAGAGACCTAATCAGGGCAGGCCTGAGCAGGCTGGACACTCAGGGAGGAGTTGACATTTCGGTCTTGTCTGAAATTTACAGGACAGGCCTGGGTCTGCAGCCAGGCAGGAGTCTGCATTGCACTTTGAAGTAGAATTCCTTTTCTTCTGGGGAACCTTTGCTCTTAAGGCTTTGACCTCATTGGATGAGGCCCACCCACGTTATGGAGAATGGTCTGCTTTATTTAAAGTCAGCTGATTGTATATGTTAATCACATCTACAGAAGACCTTCCCGGCCACCTCTAGACCACTGTTCTCCAAACTACCTGGCACTGCAGCCTGGCCAGGTTAACGTGTGAAATTGACCATTACCGGTCATCAGTACTTCTTAGATGGTGTTAGTACAGAGAATCAGAACGTTGGCCAAGAGAATACTACACTGTGGAAGTGAAAAATTGGATTAGATACAGGAATCCTCTCTATACCTTTTAAGTTGTGTATATAAGTATTTTTTAGTGTATATGTAGTAAGTGAAACCATTAGAAAATAAAGATGAGAGGGAACAAGCTAATCCATAATTCTATCACTCTAATAATCACTATTAAGGTTTTCTCACCTTCAGGATTTTATGTGTTTATCTCATTCTAGCCGTGATCTCGTTTTTGTTACATTTGCAGGTGTGACACACGCAGTTTTGTAACCGCATCTCCACTGTCACACACGTATTTCCATCTCAGATGCCCGTCTGCATTATTCTGAGCCACTGTGTGTTGTTCACTTGTGCCAGTTTACTAAATCCCACTCCCTGAGACATTTCTCATTATCAGCAATAATGTGCTGAACATTTTTATTCATAAATCTTTTCACTTGCTTCATTATTTCTAAGTGGCTTTCAAACTTTATCAGTAGAACTTTTTATTTAACTCAAAGGTTACTTAGGAAGCTCATTCATTCATTCAACCCAGTGGTTTACAGCCCTGGCTATACCTTTAGGAAAAAAAAAAACCCAAAACCCTTTCTGGGCTCATCTCAGTGAATTCATGGTGTTGGGATGCAACGTATTCATCAGTATTATTTTTCCTCTTCCAAAGGCCCCCGGGTGGTTTTGAACATGCGGCCGGGGTGGAGAGCACAGGGTGTCAAGGGCAGGCAGCGGGGTGGCGGTACCTGAGCGTGGAGTCTGACTTACCCGCTCACTGCCGGGGAGAGATGCTGCAACGGGTGGGTTAGGGAACTGGGTTAGATTTACTGGGATCCGTGACTTGAGAATTAGTGATCAAGGAGATATTTAAAGAAAGCAAATTTCTTAACATCATCAAGATCTTCATTCACATGTTTCATCTGTTTAATAAAGGTTGGTTTTCGTATGATCAGGTCTTTTTTTTTTAGCTTTATTGAGATATTAATACACAACATTGTGTAAGTTTAAGATGGACAGTGTATGATTTAATACATGGATATATTGTGAAGCGTTGACCACAGTGAGGTTCTCTTCACGTGATTATCGTTTTTATTGTTGTTACGCAAGAACATTTAAGATCAACCCTCCTGGCTACTTCCAAGTGCCCAGTACTGCATTGTGAGCTGCAGGCACCAGGCCGTGTATTGGATCCCTGGAACTTACCGACTTTTAACCGAAAGTTTGTGCCCTTTGAGCAACACCTCCCCAAGTCCCCCACCCTTTGGGATTAGGTCTTATTCTTTTAATAAATGTGGAGAAAGATCATTGCTTGCTAATGTCCTTGGACAGCTGAATCCTAACTAATACCAGAGAACCTTGCACATAACTGCATGCAAAGCCCCTGGGAGAAAACAATAAGCATCTTAGCTTAACTCAACACAGTGGTGCTAGTCCGGTGCTTTTGGATTGAGTGCTTTAATACTGTCAGTCTGTCAGCTTGCTTGTTTTCTAAAACTGTGAAGAAAACAACTCACCCCAGCACTGTCTTGTCCTAGCATCCTTCCACCCTCATTAATGGAGAGGCTGAGCCTGGAGAGTCATTTGAAGAAGAAAAGATTGCCCCCATGCCCCTCTGCGGGTGGGAGGAAGTCTGACCCTGCGGCCTCTGAGGGCCTTCCTTTCGTTTTCCCTTGCAGTTCAGCTCTGGACTGTTGGGAACTATCACTGGTATCTCAAGCAATGTCTGCCCTTCAGCGCCTGTGGGAAGAGCAAGATTGTATCTCTGATGTGGGACCCGGTGACCCCGTACCGGCTGCACGTTCTCTGTCAGGGCTGGCACTACCTCTGCTATGAGTGGCACTGGACAACTGACCGGAGCTTGGGAGATAGTTCCAGTGACATGGCAAATGTGGCTGTCATCGATGGACGTAAGCAGCGGGGAAGGGTGTCGACGGGCCTGGAAGGGGTGCCTGCACCCCATGCCTGCCGACATGGTGGTTTCACTAAAACAGTGGGGACTACTTGCTGGGCTGGTTGCTTTGGCTGTTTGGTTTCTTTTTACCTACTTGTTGTTTTGTTTGGACGGGAGAGCCCATAAGTGGGGCATGTACCCACCTGAGGACCATGGTCCCTCCTCTGCACACCCGCCTGCCAACCCAGTTCCCCGTGGTGCTGCATCCACAGTCTTCATATATTTACTGGTCCAGCCTTTCAAGACGCTGAAAATTTTGACCCTGGGTAGAGGGGCCTCAGTCCTGTTGTGGTTGTGGGTGCGTCAGCCTCGTCATTTGCTCTGACTTAGGTTTGCGCTGACCCTGACCCTTGCATCATTCACCCCCTGCCCCCACCCCATGTTGCTTTGGTTTCTGATAAAATACTTGTCAATAACATGCCTCTCCAGTGTGTTCAGTTGGAGTCACAGACATCTGTCTACTGTGAAGATTGGCTTATAATGAAGTGGAGAGTTTTGTTGTTTTTGTTTGGGTGAGGGGGAGGAAATTGGGGAGAGCAGTAGCCACCTGAACAGGCAGTTTATTTTCTGCTAATAGCAGAAGGAAAAACTTGTTTCTAAGATTGTAATGTGACTGGGTGTACTAATTCATGTTCTGTATGTTCATAATACTGATTTACTGATGATGTGTTCTGTGTAGAGGACTTAATCAGGTATGCCCTATTTCCAAATCCATGCGGAGGGAAGTGCTCTAAGGAATTGAAACGTGCTGATCCCCTTGCTTTAGTCTGGCTGGGTGGCAGGCTGAAGCTAGAACTGTGACTTCCACCTGGCGCCTGGCTCCTGAAACCTCCAAGACCAGAGGTGGACTTCCCGGCCTGGAAGTGGCAGTAGCCAGAGTCTGTGATACCTCCTTCCCCTCTTACATGATATTTAAGCTTATTCATGATAAAAACACTGAAAATTATTTCAAAGAATTGCTGTGTATGTCCTACCACCATTATTAGGGAGTGGTGTGCACTGGCCCAAGGCCTCATTTTACAGATTGAACATCCATGGGTGTTAACCCTCCTTCCATCCCTCTCGCACCTGCAGACAGGGTGATGGTGACCGTCTTCCGGCAGAGTGTGGTTCCACCTCCCATGTACACCTACCGCCTGCTGCTCCCACAGCCCGTGAATCAGGTCACGTTCTCTGCCCACCCTCAGAAGAGTAACGACCTCGCTGTCCTCGATGCCAGTAACCAGATTTCTGTTTATAAGTGTGGTGAGTTCGCAACTGTTACCAGGATGCTCTGCCTCAGGTTCCTCCTCTGAAGAGCAAGTTATAGTTTGGCGTTGCCTTCACTTTAGTGTTTCTAAAAATTTTGAAGTTTATAATTAATATTAATGTCATCATGACATTTATTGGGTTGGCCAAAAAGTCCATTATGTTTTTTTCCGTATCATGGTCCTAAGTAGTGCTTAGTTGTCTTTCACTTCATTGAGATGATTTTGTGAGATTGTATTGTGACAGCTTTCATATCAGCATGCATTAAAAAAAATTAGAATTGGTGAATTTTTGTGCAGCTATTTTAATATTGAAGATGAAAGAAAATACACAACATTTTTGGCATATTATGCTTTATTATTTCAAGAAAGGCAAAAATGCAACTGAAATGCGAAAAACAATTTGTGCAGTGGACAGAGAAGCTGCTATGACTGATGGAATGTGTCAGAAGGTTTGCAGAGTTTCTTGGTACTATTAATATTTGGGCAAATAGCTCTCTGCTGTGGGGTGTCTTATGCACTGCACTGGAAGATGTTTAGCAGCACCCCTGGCCTCTACCCACTGGAAGCCAATAGCGGGAGATAGCCGACATATTCAAAATACCCAAATCAATGAAGTTATTGGTGAAAATGAAGAATGTGTCTTACTTTATAGAAAAAATATAATGGGCATTTTGGCCAATCCAATAATAGGCGTGTGGGATTTTTTTCACTGGGGCTTTAGTTTCACTGTGGATTATAAGAACTTTTCCTTCTGCTTTGTTGAACTTGGAGACTCAGTTATTTAAATAATGACATTCAACCCTGGAAATAAGATAGCATTTTATTACATGTTTAATGCATTTTACAGCTTCCATTGCTTTGCCCGTGTTTTCATTTGGTCTCACAGCCCCCCTGGGAGCCGGGTCACTGGTGGCGTTCTCCGTTGTCAGAGACGAAGGAACAAAATGCCCGTGTCCTTGCAGCTGCTTGAGCGAGAGCAGCAGGGATTCCAGCTGAGGGTTCTAGCTTCCCGTTCCCTTGTCTCCCGCAGCCCCGTTCTCGGTGTCTGGTTGCTCCTCTGATGGACTGGGAAGCCTGACACCCCGTGTTTGGTTGTGAGGTCTGTGGTCATGGCATGAATCATGCTGGCCAGTGGCACTGGTGTCCTTGTTTCAAATAACTGCTGAATTCTCAGAAGTAAACGAGATAGCGGCTGGGAGAGCATAGTCAAGGCTAACTGTTTGTATGGGAATGTCCTGCTTGCTTATCAGCTTTTCTGTTAATCAACAGCCTACTGTTTATACTAGTACTACAGGGGTCCTCGTTTCGGTCAGAGTCGTTTTGTTATAATGTGGATGAGATGCCGTAGGAACTTAACCCTTCTTTGTGTCGTCTGGCCTGGGATGAAATGGACTTTGCTGTTTGTAGTTACACTTAAAGTCACAGAATGTGTTGACGGCATTGAGGACTGATGTGCTTGGATATGACTCCAGCTTCTCTGGCTTTAGTTTCACTCTATAAAATTTGGGCAAATCCTCATAAATCCTACAAAAATCCTCCTTAAACTTTTTATTATTTAATAGCTTTAAAAATAACAGTAACGCGTTCATTGTTGAGACAAATCAGAAAAAGCAAAAATTAACTGCTCTTCAAAGTGGATTTTCTATCAACTAGTAATATCGAAAGTAAGTGTGATTGTCTTCATACTTGACCTGTTGGGCATCTTATCACTGGTTTTATGAGATTAAAAGAATCAGATGTAGAGGAGCTTTTGTGGCGCTTAGTATACGATACTAACTTGAGTTGTATATCGTTTTACAACACACAGACTATTCTGTCCTACATTCACTTCGAAAATAACTGTATTCATACCGCTCACCCACGTAAGGTGTGCAGTTCTGTGCGTTTTAGTACGTTGAGAGTTTTGCAGCCATCACCACAGTCAACTTGGGACGTCTTTGTTTCTGCAGAAGGAATGCCCGTGGCACCCTGCATTCGCTGAGCTGACGCTCACAACTGCCTGGGACTCGATAGGGTGGGTCGAGAGCTCTGCCTTTGGGAGATTTGTCAGGTGTCTGTGTGTGGGTGGGCCAGGGGTGTGGGCACTTCGAGGCAGATAGCAGAGCGTCCAGGCAGGAGATGGTGAGAGCTTGAGCCCGGGGAGTGTCTGCAGAATTGCGAAGAGAAAGAGCCTACAAATCCAGAAGCTGGAAAGCCTTTGGGAAGTTAAGGGTTCTATTGTGGAGTGTTTGCGTATAAAAGAGTCTGGAAAAAGGCCGTGGGAGTTTTCATTAGAGCATAGGACTTAGAGATTAGTCTTCAAATCTGGAGCCGTTTCGGCTGCCGGTGCTGGTGCGGATGGCTCACGTGGAGTTGGAGCTGTTGAATGCCAGCGTTGGGCACTACCCAGTGAGCAGGATGTCGGGAGAGCATGAGGATAAGAGCTGGCAAGGGAAGGTGGCTTTTGCATTTAGCGTGACCAGGAAGCCTCTCTGTGAGGGTGACATTTAAGCAGAGAGCCAACAGGAATTAGGGAGCCATGCAAGCGTGGGGTAAGAACATCCAGGTAGAGGACAAAGCAACTGCTAAGGCGCTGGTCATTTGTAGGAAAGAACCAGGAGTTCAGGGAGGCAGCAGAAGAGCAGGTGAGGGGAGCATGGTGGGTGGGGTCACAGGTGACAGCTCTTGTTGCCTTTGAAGGATCTGGGAAGATGTTAGTGTTCCTTCTGGTGAGACAGGGAACCACCAGAGGAAGCAGGAGAGTGTGGTGTTCTGACTCAGTTTTTAAAGCATTGTATTGGCTGCTGTGCGGTGAATCACCAGGATCAAGGATGGAAGGAGAATGGCTTTTGATCAAGGGTGTGGGGTTGGAGAGGGGCAGTTATGGGGCAGTGGGAGGAATCAGCACTGGGCCGAGAGGGCAGCCCCACCGCCGGTGTTGCTGGGGCAGGTGAGGGTTGTGACGATGTGGTACAAACGGAGAGCAGATCTTGGTTCTCCTGAAAGGCAGGCAGAGATTTTAAAAAGAGATTGAGAAGTGACTGTTTTCTAGATTGCTTTTTTTGTAAAGTAGTTTGACACCTAGAACCCTATGGCCTTGTATCAAGAGAAATGTGTCAGAAGCCGGCCAGCAACCGTCCCTTGACAAGGTCGGGATGGTTGAGATGCATCTGCAAGGCAGAGGCAACTGTGGCTGGATTTCCTGTCTATCTCTCTTTACATGTTTGTTTTGGTGATCAAAAGGTGGTGGGATTGTTAGACACTTGTATTTCAGGTTCATTGACTAGCATAATTCCAGTGAAGTTGTACAAAATAATTTCTTGACCAGAGAACAAAGTCCCTGTATGTCTAAAAGTTGTTGGAGTAACAGCCCCTCCTTTACCTTGAATAGGGATATATATCAATTAGACCGCCAAAGAAATAAGAGAAGCTGGTTAGCTATTAAGCACTTAGAAACAGTTACGAGGGAGTCAGAGTTTATAGTACACAGAGAAACATTTTAGACAGAAAAGGATTGATAGCTAAGTTAGACATCACAAAGGCCTTATAGTAAATTTCCTATTACCTCTACTCAATCTAGCGTATCCTCTTGCCCCATGACAAATTCTGAGAAACTTTAATAAACATTAAGACATTCAAACTCTGTACATACACCTACTTCTAATTGTCTGATTTATGGCTTTCCTGGTCAAAACAATCTTTGTTTAATATAACTGAATCTATGGGAACTTTCGTACTTTTCCTGGTTACCTTTGTATTGATTTTCTCTGCTTAACTGATCATGCTATGCACCTGCAAATGTTAATCACTACCAAAAATGAAAATATAAAAACCTGCTTATACTTATAATAAACGGAACAGAGCTTCACTGTCCTTTGAGGCGTGTTGTCATCTGTTACCCATCACCGATGCCTTACCCACCTTTCAGGAACCCCTGGACCCTGCTGCGGCTGGACCACAGCAGAAATATTTGTAGTTTACTGTGATGGTATTTGCAATTTTGTTTTCTAGGTGATAGTCCAAGTTTGGATCCTACAGTGAAACTGGGAGCTGTGGGTGAGAATGGATTTACAGTTTCCCTTGGGACACCTCATCTGGAAAAGAGATACGAGTAGGTGGTTCTTAGGAGTAAATTTACTCACTGTTACCCTGTAGTGCAGCAAGTATAGACAGCACTGTGTGCTGGTTTTTCAGCCTCGTTGGGGAAGCCACACACTTGTATTCTGAATGTCACATATGCTGAAGGGCGGCAAGAGAGTGCAAGTAGTAAACCAGCCTAAAACCCGCTCCCCTCCACAGCTCTTGGTTCTCCAGGGAAAGGTGGAGGTGAAGCCCACAGGGCGGAGCCGCACTTGCGCCACCTCGGTGAGGAGTGTGGGTTGTTAACACACGGCTGATCCTACGCAGCCTTGTCTTGGCCTCATCCCACACTCTGAGACCGCCGGTGCTCCCAGGTTACAAATCAGAATGCATTTTCCACTGGAAATAATGTTATAAATGGTTGGGTATAATTGAATATCTCAGGAATTTAGAATATAGGTTCATGTTTTAGAAATTGAGAGGAGAGCTTCCCGTCATTCAGAGACAGTTTCATGAAGGACAGGAAAACTTACCATAATCCTAGAAGAAGGGCTAGGTTAGGATTGGCAGAAAGGACTGGGAACATCGGAGCAGAGTGCTGGTGAGGACCAGTTGGGGGCGCCCCTGCGTGGGGCTGAACGCAGTGCAGAGACTGGGTCCTGGAGAGCTGGGTGAGGAAGATCAGGCGGGGGAGCACCTCCTCCACTGTGCGCTGAGGGTCTGCTGCTTCTGCTCACAGGCAGGAAGTAGCCGTAGGAGTTGCTGCCCCAGGTGGCAGAGAGTACTCCCCTCTGGTGTATAAATGCTGTAGAAGGAAGACGTTGGAGGCAGGGAAGCTCGCTCTCAAGCTAATGTGAGCTGCTTAGGAAAGGACCCGTTCTGCTGAGATCCAAGTGTCTGCTGCAGTTCGGTTTGTGGGGACAGTGAAAACCTCTGGGCTTCATTAGCGCAGGGTCGACCCGGGGCAGGGCATTTTCTTCTGTGGTCAGTTTCACAAAGTGTTCTCTTCAAATCTATAAAGATCTCAGGCTAAGAGACAATATTAAATGAATGGAAAACATGTTTCAGAGCCAGACAAATGTTATCTTTGGGTTTTTTAGTATTTGAAATCACTTCAGGTTTGTCCCTCCAAATAATTAGGTGTTGACTGTATTCAGGGTTTATTCTTCGTTCATTCAGGAAATTCTCAGTGACATTAAAAGTTTTATTCACATCTTGCATATTGTCAATGTTTAAAACAGAATTCAGTTTGAGAATAGTGAAGATCAAGAAGTAAATCCACTGAAGCTCAGCTTTCTCACCTGGGTCCAAGAAGACGTCTTCCTGGCCGTAAGCCACAGCCGGGCCAGCCCACAGTCTGTCATTTACCATCTGACTGTGGCCTCTTCCGAGATGGGTGACGAGCATGGGCAGCTCACTGTGATCTCTTCCGAGACGGATGACGAGCATGGGCAGCTCACTGTCAGGTATGACAGCACTTTCCTGTAGTTCATGTCCTACTAGATGGAGCTGTGCTTTGTCTGTATGTGCTTAGGACTTGTTTTGGCTTCAGTGAGCCAAGCTGAGGGGCAGTCGCTTCCTTGTTAGACACTATTAGCAAGCAGTTAAGGCTGGTTTTGAGTCATGTGAAAATATAGGCTAAAAATGTATCAAGTGGTGAAAAATAGGACAAAAACCAATAGATGAGACAGAACATTTTAAGATATGTTAAAAAAATTTTTTTGAGATTTAATTTACTTACTTGTAGAGAGGGGGGAAGGGAGGAGAGACAAAGAGAGGGAAACATCAATGTAAGAGAAAAACCTTGATTGGGTGACCAGATGATCAGATCAAACCTGGATTTGATTCTCACGCCCTGCGGGAATCAAGCTGCTGGCAACCTTTCACTTTGCAGGACAACACCCAGCCAACTGAGCCACGCTGGTCAGGGTGAGATGTGTTAAAAATTTTAATTGAACATACACTGACATTCCAGCGGGGCAATTGCTAGCCCGTGGGAGTCAGCCACTGTGATTACCCTTGGTTTGGTAGTTATTAAACTCAGTTGTGAGATCTATTTCTGGGTGCTGCATTTTGATGTCTCGCTGCCGCCTCTTTACATGCCGTTTGGCGCTTCAGTCCACTTACTACTGGAAAGTCTCCTCTGTTTCCTTCGCTAAAATTTCGCTGCTGCCTGATCCTGCTTCATTTCAATCCCTGACTGCGCCTTTGTCCCCGGTTTGAGTTAGTGAGAGCTGTCGTCTGCAGTGCAGGGCCCCGCTGTGCAGTATAGCCTTGTCCAGACAGCTCTGGGAAAGCCTCGGGGTTCCAGCATCGCAGCTTGGCACCGTGGGCGTGCATCAATGGGAATCGCCAGCTTCATTTGTAATTGAAGATCTGGTTTCATGTGAACTCTGAAAAGCTTGTTGCAGAATTACGACCCTTTCCTTATTGTATACATAAAACATATCCTGATGTGGTCATTAACTCTGAATCTTTGACTCATGGCACTGTATATTTTTAAAAAGCTTTTTGTGAATATGTCTGGATGCAGAAAATGATGTAGCTGCATGTAGTACTTAAGGTAACAAGGGTTTACCTTTTATTACTTTTGAAAAGCAGAACAGTTTCCATTAGAAATGCGTCAACTATGCCAGTTCCTACTTTCCAAAATTAAAAATTCTTTGTGGAAGAAAGAGCTAGATGCAGTCATCTCATTTACTGTAAAGGGAATGCGAAGCCACTTACATTGTATTTCTGTTGCTTTGATTTTTGTTTCTCAAAAGACTGTTTTGTTCATGTAAAGTGTCAATATCTTTGAGGACTATTAAAATCTCACAGTTACCTCTGAGATCTTAATAGCTTACATTTACTACAGCTTGTGCTTTATAAAAGGTTCTCTTCTTAGTGCTTTACCTAGATTAACTCATTTCTCTCTCACAATACCTCTTTGGAGCCTGTGCTGATAGTGTGTTACAGCTGAGACAGCTGAGGCACAGAGCTAGCAAGTAAGTTGCCCAAGGTCACAGGTGAAGCCGGGATCCATCCCCAGCAAGTTTAGTTCCAGAGTCTGCTCTCTTAACTTACAGATAATTTACCCTCACAGAAGCTGGGGCTTTGGGGGTCTTTTATAGATTGGTTAAACACTCTGAGTAAATGTTAGCATTGGCACCATGTGTTTTTATCACTGACTCAGGTGGAAACAATGGCAATAGCACATTGCCCTCTTCCCATGAACGTGACAGACCTACAGACTTCCCTGAGTGTGTGTGGTAGCAATAGAGACTGCTCTGCTTTCCTACAGACTGCTTTTTACCAGATAATATTGGTACCAGGCATATTAAATGAAGTCGATAAATTACCAGTTGCAATAAGTCGTAACAGTTGCTGCCAGAATAGGAGGGTTGTCCTCACAGCGTACACACCTGGCTTACTTGTAGTGTGGAAAATACTGTGATACGACAGTAGTTGCTTTACCTGGGCTTGCGATTGCAGTGGTTTGTCATTGTGTGTGTGTGCACACTAGTGTGTGTGTGTGTGTGTGTGTGTGTGTGTGTATTGCGTATATATTGTATTGAAATAAGCAGAGCAGCACCAAAAGGAAAGTGCTTTTTTCTTTTTCTGTTTTGCAAAATGTGAAATGTTTAGTGCAATATCACTACTTTGGAGAAAAAGGATCTGTTCACATCCCCTCCCTCCCTTTTTTTACTTTGTCAGTTCATCTGTGACAGTGGATGGGGTCATAATCAGCCTGTGTTGCAATTCCAAGACCAAGTCAGTGGCATTACAGCTGGCTGGTGGCCAGATACTTAAGTACCTTTGGGGTGAGTATCAAAATGTTGGGAAACCATGTTCGTGATTTATATGCCTGTTTAATTCTTGAAAACGTGACTTGTATCATTTCTGTGCTGTACTGATCATTAGGGCTTTTAACTACTCTGGAAAACCCTAAGCTATAGCTTGGAATTGGCATGTGTTTTTCACCTCTCTTTCCTCTTGTAACGAACTGCAGCACCCTAATGAGTTTCCAGGATATATTTGGAAAGTGATCTAAAATGCATGTTAAGTGTTTTAGCAAGTTTAATGTGCCAGTTTTTTACAAACCTCACCTGCCAATCCTGCAGAGTCCCCCTCTGTGGCTGTTGAACCCTGGAAGAACCCGGCTGGCTTTCCTGTTCGCTTTCCTTACCCTTGCACACAGACTGAATTGGCCGTGGTTGGTGGGGAGGTAAGTGAACTCAGGGCAGACAAACTTACCAGCTAAGGCAGTGACCCAGGATCCGATGCCGTTAGGTGAGAAGAGTCTGGGCTTTGGAGATGCACCTGGGTCTCACTAAGTCTTAAGGCAACAATGAGAAGTTACCCATTTTCCTGAGCCTCAGTTTCTTCATTTGTGAAATGGGGTTGAGAGATTGGCTGGCAGTGCAGCAGTTAGTTGATTCCTTTCCTTGGAGGTTTAAATTTACAAATAGAAGAATGCAGCCCTGGCTGGTGTAGCTCAGTGGATTGAGCTCAGGCCTGGGAACCAAAAGAGCGCTGTTTGATTCCCAGTCAGGGCACATGCCTGGGTTGCAGGCCAGTTCCTAGCAGGGGCCAATTCCCAGCAGAGGATGCACCAGAAGCAACCATACATTGATGTTTCTCCTCTTCTCTCCTTCTCTTCTAAAGATAAATAAATAAAAATAAAAATAAAAAAAAGAAGAATGCGATAGTGTTCTTAACAGCCTCCCAGGTGGGTCTAATGTGTAGTAGCCACAGTAGAGAACTACTAAATTTTGTCAGACCTTTTATTCAGAAATGACTTGTGGACTTCCAGCCAAGATGATGGCATTGGTAAACAAGCTCACCTCCTCGTACAACCACATCAAAATTACAACTAAAATATAGAACATCTATCAGTCAGAACCATCAGAAATTGAGTTGAATGTAAGTCTGACAACTACAAAATTAAAGGAACCGCATCCACCCAGACTGGTGGGAGAGGCAGAGACAGAATGGGCTGGTTCCACATCCACGTGTGGTCGATGACAATTTGGGAGGCCTGTCTCGAGAGTGAGGAGTCCCAGCCTCACAGCAGGTGCCTCAGCCCAGGGTTCCAGTGCCAGGGAGTTAAGCCCCCAGAACTACTGGCTGTAAAAACCAGTAGGGATTGAATTGGTGGAAGAAACTTGGGGAGTCCCAAGCAGTTCCTCTTAAAGAACCCACACTCGGACTTACTCCCTCTGAGCTGCAGTACCAGGGCACCAGCTTGGAAGGCACCAGTGGTGTATAGGGAGAAACTGAAGTGTCTGGTGTCAGGACAAGAGCTGGGGGACAACTTTCTCCCAAACAGAAAAGTGGGCAGAGGCAAATGTCCCTTTTCTGACCCCTCACGCCACAGAGCCACAGAGCCGGCAGGCTGGTGCCATATCTGAGGCTCCGATAACCTGGCTAACACTGTGTACCGCACTTTGGAGATCCTCAGAGACTCAGTCTCACCCAACTTATGGGTACACGGCTCACCTAACTTACTGGCCCACCCAAGTTGCTTTTCCATATGAATGGCTGGTCGTGGGTTCACAATCCTAAATCCTCTCAAACAAGCAACAGCCAGCCTCAGTGAGCCCCCAGCCCCTGTACCTCTTCCTAAGTAGCCCCAGGCCTGGCACTATCACCAGACAGCCAAGATTTACAGCTTGGCTTCACCTGGGAATCTCCACGCCCAGCACAAGTAGCAGCCATCTCAGATTGCTCTATAGCTTAGGCAGGGTGGCCACAGGCAAAACGCAGGTGGGGGCTGACATTGGCCTATACCACCCAGGAAACCCCAGGGCCTGAGTACCCAGTGGGCAGCCACAGACCACATCAGAGCACCACCACCCTGCTGCCACACAGCTGGTCCCCCGTGGAGGGTGGAGGTTGGTGGACAGTGGTTACAGCCAGTCCTTGTAGCTCACTGGCCTGGGCGGCCTTATTTGCCTTTGGGGAAAATGTCTAGGCAGGACTGACCTGAGAATTGTGGTTAACCTATTATTCATTCACTGTTTAGTGAGCACTACTCTGTGCCTGTCCCTATGACAGCCATGTTTAGAACAAGGAAAGCAGTGGATCTGCTGTGTTCTGGGCAGATCAGAGCACTTGAGGAATAGTGGATTCCACAAGGGTAGGGGGTCACATCACTGGCAAACACAAGCGTATCCAGAGGGAACCCAGGATGGTAAGTGTCTGGGCTGCACCCTTCTCTCACATTTTTCAAAATTTAACACCTGAAGGTAAGGCCTTCAGGGTGTGGGAGATGTTCTGTTTTGATCTAACTAGAATCCTTTGCCTCCTTATTCTGGTAACCAGTTACCCTGCTTTGTAGAGAACCTACTCCTTCCCCATCCTTGTGATTCTGGAAGGGCTCTCAATTGCGGTACTGTGACCTCCAGTCACGGGGACAGACCGTGACCCACAGCAGACCAATCAAAGCCCTTCCCTGGGTCTTTTGTCTTTTTCCCTTTGGCTTGTGAGTTAAAGGATATGTTTGCAGAGAGATGGCACTCATATCCCCAGCCATTTGGAAGGACTTGAAATAATTAATCAAACTCACAAATAGAAGACAAGCTGAGAAGTGCAGAGACGGAGTGTGACTGGAGCAAAGACAGTCACGCATCACTAAACGGCGGGGATACAGTCTGAGAATTTCATCATCAGGCAGTTTCATTGTGCAAACATCACAGAGCGCACTTGCACTTAAGTCAAGCACAGGAGAAAATGAGGCAATCAAGACACAAGGTAAACAGATGTACGAGGCTGCTGCTGGCACAACACGGCATACTCATCTATAGCAAACTTTATAAGTAGCAAGAGTACACTCTAAAAGAACAATAAAAAGTATAGTAAATACATAAAACAGTAACTGAGCTGCTTATTACCATTATCAACTACTATGTACTTTATGTAATTATATGTGCTATACTTTGATACCACTGGCAGGGCAGTAGGTTTATCAATGTCAGCATCACCACAGAACACATAATGTGTTGTACTAGGACGTTAAGAGAGCTGCGATGTCTAAATAGACAATAGAAATTTTCAGTCCTGGTGGTCAATGGTCACAGCCAAACCTTGCAGCTGACTGGCCTGGATAAAATCTGTCAACAGCAACCAAGAGGAGGGTGTACTGAACCCATATGAAGGGCACATCTTGAGTACGCAGCTTGGGTGACAGGGAGGGCTGTGCCTCTGGACCCTACAGGACACCTATTACATTAGGGCACACTACCAATACATAGAGTCAAAGCATCTCTACCTAATACATGGAAACAAACACAGGGAGGCTGCCAAAATGAGGAGACAAACATGGCCCAAATGAAAGAACAGATCAAAATTCAAAAGTACTAAATAAAATGGAGATAAGCAATCTATCAGATGCAGAGTTCAAAATACTATTCGGGGACATAAGAACGTTCAGGGACCTTAGCGAGGACCTCAACAACATAAAAAAGATCCAGTCAGAAATGAAAGGTTCCCTAATTAAAATAAAAAACAACGTACAGGGAAACAGCAGTAGAGTGGATGAAGCTGAGAGTCAAATCAGTGTTTTGGAACATAAGCAAAAACATCCAATCAGAACGAGAAGTAAAGAGAATCCCCAAAATGAGGATGTATAAGCAGCTTCTGGAACAACCTCAAGAGGTTCAACATTCGCATCAGAGAAGTTAGTTACCTGCATGGGAGTTCGCATAAGACTGTCAGCTGATTTCTCAAAGTAAACCTTGTAGGCTAGAAGGGATTGGCAAGAAATAATCAAAGCCATGAAAAGCAGGGACCTACAGCCAAGATTGCTCTACCCAGCAAATTTATCATTTTGAATCGAAGGGCAGATAAATAGCTTCCCAGACAAGAAAAAAAACTGAAGGAGTTCATTGTCACCAAACCGTTAATATATGAAATATTAAAGGGACTCATTTAAGACAAAGAAGTTCAAAACTGTGAATAATAATATGACAAAAAATACGTATCAACAATTGAATCTAGAAACCAAGCTAAACAAGAAGAACAGAAACAGAATCATGGATGTGGAGTGTTTTGATGGTTGCCAGATGGGCCAGGGGTGCAGAGGAATGGATGAGAGGTGAGGGGATTAAGAAATACCAATAGGGAGTTAGAGAATAGCCACGGGGTTGTAAACTGCAGTATGGGAAATGGAATAGCCAAAGAACTTACACACGTGACTCTTGGACTTAAACAGTGGGGGGGGGATTGCCTGTGGGGATGGGGTATGCTAGGTGGAGAGGGGCAAAGGGGGAAAAATCAGGACACCTGTAAGAGCATAATCAATAAAATATAATTTAAAAAAATGACAGGACTTGCTGCTGAATTGTATGGCATTATACTGCATTTAGAACGGGACCAACCACATCTTTTGTATCTATATTCTCTCCCGAATACAGAGACTTAGATGTGCAATCACAGGTCAGTAGAAATGTGTAACAGGAAAATTAGGTTTAACCAGCTTGGTTTGAATTGTTTGTGATTTCAATTTTATTTCTTTGCAGGAATGTGTCCTTGGTCTGACTGACAGGTGTCGCTTTTTCATCAATGACAATGAGGTATAGAGGCTCAGTTTGGTCCTGGATCCTTTTCCGTGTTGCTCCAAGTAATAGTGCTCAGTTTCCTCTTGCTTTGTTGTAGGTTGCTTCAAATATCACGTCGTTTGCAGTGTATGATGAGTTTTTACTGTTGACAACTCATTCTCATACCTGCCAGTGTTTTTGCCTGAGAGAGGCCTCATTTAAAAGTAAGTTTTCAGTGTATAAAATAAAAAATAGTTCCTCTTCTTATATCTTTTTTCTTCAAAAGTCTTGATGACTTTCAAGTCCTTCACCTACTTGGGCTGTGGATCCCAGCGTCCTAGACTGGGGAGAACCGGGGGAGTTCAGTTCCTTCAGCACTAATCTCAACACAGCCCCTCAGTCAAGTCATTCTGCACAAGGTAGCAAGACCCCAGAGCAGGCAGTCCTTCCTCGAGCAGACTATTCTAAAGTTAAGAAGTTTTCAGGAAATTTTGGTATATAACTAATATAATAGTTACCAGTAAATACCGGACTGGCAATGTGCTGTAACTTCTTTTTGATCTTCCTTTGTAACCTTGCTGTGGCCACCCTCTAGTGTACCAGCTGAAGGGCGCCATGTGGTGGTCCGCAGGAGACTGGCTTCATTTTTTTTCTCTTTTATTCCATGCTGACACTGTGTGTGTGTGTGTGTGTTCTCTCCTTATTCTAAAAACCTCCACTTACATTCTTTGCTTCTAAGTTGGAAATGGAATCACTCACCAGTATAATTATAGTGCTCAGAAACAGGGAAGCTACCCAATCTTTCCTGCGTTTTCCAAATCAGTTGATAAGTTGTGGATGTGAATATGGGCCAAGGCTCTGTGAGGGAGGGCGCGTTCAAGGGATGAGGCTGTTTATCAGGAAGGCGAATGGTCTTGCAGTTAAATGGGAGAGCAAAGGAGCCTGGCTTCTGTTTCTGAGAACGTGCAGTTTCCCCTGCGGTTAGTGAGGGTGGCTTGTCGCGACAGTGATTCTGAAGGCTTAGCCAGTGGTGTCTTCAGCATTACAGGCAAGTCTGAGCAACAGCGATGTGCCCAACGGGGAGATTCTGCGGAAGGTGGAGCGGGGCTCGCGCATTGTCACTGTCATGCCCCAGGACACGAAGCTGGTGTTGCAGGTAAGTGGACTTTGGGGCTGTGTTTCTGATTGTCATCGCAGTCAGTGCTAGGCAGTTCTTGAGGGTTGTGTCGTGGGCTCTGTTTTCATTTGCAGTGATGTATTTCATCTGCAGCAATGTGTTTCATTTGCAGCAAGGCCTTTCCTTGCTGGGTTCTCTGTTAGCTTCATGCGGAGGGTTATTCAGACAGGCTCTGCCTGGTCAGGCTAATAAGAAGGTTTTTCTGGAAAGGGAAGCCAAATATCGAGCACAAATGGACTCTGCTAAAAGTGAATTACAGCATTGTGGTGGTTCAATGTGGAGTTAGGTAAAGTTGTGTATCCTGGGTAGTTACATGTTTCTGTTTTATTAAAAATTGTTACTTTGATGTATTTATTTTAAGATGCCAAGGGGAAACTTAGAAGTTGTTCATCACCGAGCCCTGGTTTTAGCTCAGATTCGGAAGTGGCTGGACAAGTAAGTACCATATATATGACTAGTTAGCTTGTTCTGACTTAGTGTACACGAAGATGATGAGTATTCTTTTAAAGTATTTAAAGCCCTGGCTGGTGTAGCTCAGTGGATTGAGCGCAGGCCTGCGAACCAGAGGATCGAGGTTCAATTCCCAGTCAGGGCACATGCCTGGGTTAAAAGCGAGTTCCCCACAGGCCAGTTCCCAGCAGGGGATGCACTAGAGGCGACCATACATTGATTTTTCTCTCCCTCTCTCCTTCCCCTCTAAAGATAAATAAATAAATAAATAAATATTTTTAAAAAAATAAAGTATTTAAAACTTAAAAGTCTGAAAAACATTCATTACAGATGTCAGCAAGGTTATCAGAGTACTTTTATCCACACTTTCATTTTAATTCCATGTGATGTGGTGAACATTTCTAGTGGAAAGAATTTCAAAGCTTGTCCTATCAGTCAGGGCATCTTAGCCTCAGGGGTCCATGTCCAGGTGGGCTTTAGATGGCCTGTGAGCTGGGGAAGTGGGGCACCAGACTGTATCTGTGTGTGCATCTAGGCAGAAGGCCCAAGGCTTCCAGAGTTACCGGGGACCAGTGACCCCCAAAGTGCCTGAGGCACTGTTAGGAAAGCAACCTTCCCTTGCTTGAATCTGTGTGGGGGAAGCTGGGTTATTTTGTTAAAAAAGGAAGTGGCCCTAAGTTCCATGACGGTTTTTTTTTCGTGTGTGTGTGGGGATGTTGTCCTCAGCCTGCCATCATACCTTTTGAGGAAGGCAAATGAACTTGGTGCCCTGCTTTAGTCTGTGATTTCAGAGTGGAAATCCATTAGCAGTTGTTTGGCACGTGGGCTGTAATCTAATTAGAACTTGGTGTATCATGATGACAGCGTGCTGGGTCCGGGGAGCTCAGCTTCTGTGAAATGCCTTTTCTGTTGGCTCTCTTCGCAGGCAGATGTTTAAAGAAGCATTTGAATGCATGAGAAAACTGAGAATCAATCTCAACCTGATTCATGATCACAACCCGAAGGTAACTTTCTGTGTCTGCTCTTGGCCTTGGCTTACTTTGCACTTGAACTAATGCAATCTGAACTAAAACATTTTGTCTTTTTTTTTTGGCTAGGTGTTTCTGGAAAATGTGGAGGACTTCATAAAACAGATAGATTCTGTAAATTACATTAATTTGTTTTTCACAGAATTGAAGTAAGTATTGTGAATAATTTGTGAGTATTGTATCCATAATTTTCCGTTTTAGTTAAGGAAATCAGATAGAGGAGAAAGATTAGTGTGTAGTATTTTCTTATCACTGTAACTCTTAAATGCCATATGTACTGGATTTTTGCTGACTTTTTAAAAAACAGTCAATTTAAAACTAAAACTTTAAAGTAAATAGGTCAGAATATTGTTTAACTTCATTTTTAGGTGGACATATAAAACTATTCTTTTTTTCTCATGAAATGAAAATAAAATGGAGTCTTCTTATGTCTGCATTGACTTTTTCTCCAGCTTTTTGATGAGAAAAAGTTTAAAACTAGAAAGTTGGGAGAGTTGTCACATGAGACTTGTATACCTCCATCCAGATTCTAGAATTCATGTTTTTCCATACTTGCTTTATCACTATTTATCATCTGTCCATTATCATCTATTTTTAGAAAAATTTCAAGGTAATTGTAGGCATTAGTCTGCCTTCTCTCTCAATATGTCACTTTGCTCAGCGTTACCTAGAGTGTGCCGTTGGGCGCGGGTCCCCTCACAGGTCATGTTGACAGCGGCACATGTGCCGCTCAGGGAGTTTTGACAGATGCTGCAGCTTCGTGTGCCCTGAACGCCTTCCAGGAGAGCGTGTCCTTCAGTTCAGAAAGTTCCCCCAGCCCCTTCTCAGCCAGTCCCTGGCCCCTAGGCAACCACTGTTTTGAGTTTTCACCGTAGGTGAGTTTTACGTGTTCAGGAACTTGATAGGAATGGACTCATAGTGTATTTAATTTTCCATGTAAATAAACCTCCTCTCACTTAATGTATATTTTGCACATCTCACGAGTTCATCTTGTTTATGACTCAGCAGCACGCCCTGGTGTAAATACACCGCAGGGGTTGACAGGCACCGGGACTGCCCCTTGTTTGAGGCTCCCCAGTTGAACGTTGGACTATTAGTGTACAGGTCTTCATTTCTCAATAAGTTCCTCCATTTTTACCTCCTATGAGGAAAGTTACAATGAAACTGTTTCCAGAAGCTGTTTTCATTTATTATCTCCTCAGGACACCTGGGTTTATGTTAGTTGTTTGAGAGCAGATAGTGACCATCTAATACACATGTTCATAGGGAGGAAGATGTCACTAAGACCATGTACCCTCCGCCAATGCCCGGCCCCGTGCAGCCACCCAGGGGCCCCGAGGGGAGGAAAGTGGACCTTATCTGCGACGCGATGAGAGCGGCTATGGAGAGCATAAACCCTCACAAGTACGTGCGCTGCCCTTGGTCGGCACCTTTAGACGAACAGAAGTGGGCAGTTGTCCTTACTCTGCGTGTTCCTCCTCCTGGTTAACTCAGGTACCTCCTGTCGATACTCACCTCTCACGTGAAGAAATCCACCCCGGAACTGGAAGTTGTGCTGCAGAAGATCCACGAGCTTCAAGGTAGAGACGCGGTCGCAGAGGGTGTGTTCGATGGGGCCTCGATCGCCACCAGTCTTCCGGTCTTCTGGTGGCGCACTGACCAGGACCAGGGCCACGGCACCGATTTCGCCCGTGGCCTGGGGTTGCTGTTTTAAGACCTGTGTCATTTTTTTGAGTTCTGCCCTACAGAGCATGTGCAAAAGAGTCAGAAGTGTATTATGTGCTAGAAAACGTGTTACTGTGTCTTTCTGGTTATGTCGTTAGGCGTGTGGGGTTATCCCACACGGTTCTGTTCTCTTGTTTCCGACACATGGACAGGAAGCGCTCCCTCTGATCCCGATGCCGTGAGCGCTGAAGAGGCCCTGAAGTACTTGCTGCTGCTGGTAGACGTCAATGAATTATACGATCATTCTCTTGGGACCTACGACTTTGATTTGGTCCTCATGGTAGCTGAGAAGTCCCAGAAGGTATGTGGAGTTGCTGCTGTGCCGTCTTTTGGTTCTTGCTTAGGTAACCGTGGTAGCATCAGTGCCTGCTCTGATAGTGCAGCATCCGGCTGCCTGCTGGCCTGGAGGACAGGCCTGGGGGCAGATCCGTGAGCAGAACCTGCTTCCAGCGCCATTCTCTGTCACAGTCGTGTGGGTATCAAAGTGTTGGGATCGCTGGGTCGAGCAAGTGAAATAAAAGTACTTGGTTATTGTTAAGATTGCAGGCACATGTGTGAACAAATTCTCCTCTTACAAAGAAACATAACAAATGGCCCTGGCTGGTGTGGCTCAGTGGATTGAGCGCCAGCCTGCGAAGCAAGGGATTGCTGGTTTGATTCCTGGTCAGGGCACATGCCTGGGTTGCAGGCTGGGTCCCTGGTGGGGGGCACACAAGAAGCGGCCACACATTGATGTTTCTCTCCCTCTCTTCCTTCCTTCCTTCCTTCCTTCCTCTCTCTAAAAATAAATAAATGAAATATTTTTTCTTAAGTGGAACAACAAATCAGTGTTTCTCTCTTTGTCTCTTTCTCCCCTTCCTCTCTCTAAAATCAGTAAGTAAAAAATAATAATATATTAATATGGTACATTCTAAAATTATTTAGTTTTGGACTTACTGCTATACTTATTTACTTATTTATATTTTTATCAGTATAATCACAAACAATAAAGTTCCCCAACTTACACATTTTTTTTTAGGATCCCAAGGAATATCTTCCATTTCTTAATACACTCAAGAAAATGGAAACTAATTATCAGCGGTTCACCATAGACAAACACTTGAAGCGGTATGAAAAAGCCATTGGCCACCTCAGCAAATGTGGTAAGTATGAGGATCAGTATGTTTATTTCTGCTTTAAATTGTCTTTGGAACTAGGCAGGCTATAAATTAAAATACTAGTTTGTTTGTTTATTTATTTATTTATAAAGATTTTATTTATTTTTAGAGGGGAAGGGAGGGAGAAAGAGAAGGAAAGAAACCTCAATCTGTAGTTACTTCTCACACACCCCCTACTGGGGACCTGGCCCTCAACCCAGGCTTGTGCCCTGACTGGGAATCGAACCAGTGACTCTTTGGCTCTCAGGTCAGCACTCAATCCACCGAGCCACCCCAGCCAGCTTTAAAATATTATTAGTATAGAAATAGACTGATCACAGTTTCCACTCCTGAAAATGTTTCCAGTTAAGTACGCACACCTCATTTTAGGTGTTCTGAGAAGCTGAGGTTAGAGCAAATGTCCTTTAAAGAGCAAGGATCGCCACATCTAAGATAATGGAGCAGATCTTTTCTGGGCCAAGGATATCACCTCGTAAATTTACTTCAGTGTCGCAAAATCAAAGCCGGTTGATAACTCACTCTTCTCTTGGTGCTGGCAAACACCTCAGGGAAACCTGGCGTGTGCCCAGGGCGAGAATCGAGTGCCCGTTAGTGGTGCCCTGAAAGCCACCGTTCCTGTCGCCGGTGCTGGAGTGCAGCCAGCCCAGTGCCAGCCCCTGACCCGTGCTGGGGCCTCTGGCTTCAGCAAGTGTGGTTTTTCCCTGAGGGCGGAGACGGGACAGGGGAGGGTCGGTCACCTGGGGAGCTCGTTAAGCGTTCAGCTTCCGGCTTCCTTAGAAAATCTGGTTCAGTTGGGTTGGGTCGGACTCAGGCATATGTATAGTTAATAAGCTCCCCAGGTGGTTCTTATTAAATAAGTGGGTTGAGCAAACTGCTGGATGGTCGTTTATCCAGGGTAGTGAAAAAAACCTCTTAAGTAGAACTCTAATCCCAATTTGAGCTTCTAATACCTCAGAATCTGCGGCGATGTTCATTCAGATTCAGATTCCTGGATTCTGTGCTCTAGTCCTCTGATCACACAGGTCTTAGAAAGGTCCCTTGTTGATTTTGTGTGGGGACCCTTGGTAAAACCGAAATCCTTTCTGCTTCCAAAGTCTTAAACTCATGTGTGTGTGAATCTTATTTCTGCAGGACCCGAATACTTCCCAGAATGCTTAAACTTAATCAAAGATAAAAACTTGTATAATGAAGCTCTGAAGTTGTATCCGCCGAACTCACAGCAGTACAAGGTGTGTGGTGTCAATGTGAGGTTCTCCAGGTTCCGCTTTGTGCCTTAGTTGGAAAGGGGTGGGGGTCTTCAGTCCATAACTCTGTCCTTCGTGTCTGGGTTCATCTTCAGATGAATTAGCCTCACCTTGAACAGGGAAAACATTTGGATTGTCTTTTTAAACAAACATCTGTTTAGTTTTTTATATACATCAGGTACTTTGCTTGTAAGTTACACACACTATGTAATTCTCACAGAAATGTGGTAGGTGGTGTGCACAACCTACAGTTGAGGACACAACTTGCTTGCACACCTGGGCTGTGAGTGGCTGACCCGGGCCCTGGAGCCCATGCTGTTGCCCTCAGCACCACCTCCAGTTGCCTGCAGGTCGCACACATCTTTCTGGGCTCAGGCCCCTGACTGCCTCTCTAGCATCAGCGGCCTCTGCCAGCGCCTGCCTTCCCCTTCCTTTAGCTCCACTTGTCCGTCAGCACGCTCAGGTCCCCCCTGCCAGAAGCTGGTCCTGGATGAGTTCCAAACGCTGACCTTTCAGACTGCCTTGTTCTTAACTTGGTGGCATTTATCGAAGTGCTGGTTTGCTGGTCTGTCTCTCCCACCAGGCAGTGGACTTCCTAAGGGCAAAGACTCGGTGTTACATTCCTTCTGTGTCCCTGCCTAACGCTGAGCCCGGGCAGTAGAGAATTTGGCCCGTGGCTGCCTCCTTGCTCTCACTTTCGTCATCTGTTCTTCCCCTCTGTGCTCTCACTGCTTCACTTGCACCAGCCTTCTTGTATGTTCCCTCTGGTGTGTTCTGTACACGTCCCTGCAGTTTGGCCACGGAGCCTTCCATGCTGCCGGCCCAGAACGCTCTCCCTAACTCTTCCCACGGCTAACTGTCCTCGCAGCTCGCTGTCTTCACCACTGTAAGTCCTTTCTCTGTTGCCACAAGAGCAGGCACTTAGCAGTGGTTCTTGTTATTGTTTGGTTTATTTTTTGATTGTAGTATCCTTCTCACTGCCCTGAATGGTACCCAGTAATTACTTGTGGAGTGAATTAATGACACATCCTCAGTAAGGCTTTGAATGGCAGAATGACTGAATTCACTGAGTGGCCATAGGGTTTTCCTAAGTGATTCAAGAGTTTCAAGTACGGTGACAAACGCAAGTGACAGTGGAGATTTAAAACGTGGTTGTCGCCTTTCCTTACCGCCCTCCATCTCTTGTCACAGGATATCAGCATCGCCTACGGGGAACACCTGATGCAGGAGCAGCGCTGTGAGCAAGGGGGACTGGTGTTTGCCCGCTGTGGTGCCCACGAGAAAGCACTCGATGCCTTTCTGGAGGCTGGCAGCTGGCAGCAGGCGCTCTGTGTGGCGGCCCAGCTTTCCCTGAGCCAAGACCAGCTGGCCGGCCTCAGCAGAGTTCTGGCAGGTAGACACTGTCACTTAGGTTCTCTGGAATGAGACCTTTTCCAAAGGTTTTTTCTTTCCTTCTCCCTCCCTCCCTCCCTCCCTTCCTCCCCTGTTTACAAAGACATTTAGGGCAGCATACCTTAAGGCTGTTTCATACTCAGTACGAATTAACATGGCGTGGCTGCACCAGAGTCTGATCTCAGAGCAGAGGACAGGTTCGGGTCTGCCTGTGAGAAGAGAGGAGTAGGGGGTCTGGCCCTCTCAACTGTGCTTGGAGTCAGTGATCACAGGTTACAAGAATTTTTTATTTTAGGCCTTTTAGTTATTCATTATGGCTTCGTTGTTACTTTTGCTTTAGAGACTGGTGGTTTCTGAACTGTTGGTGGTTTATACCTTCCAGCCCTGTGATCTGTGATCTTTTTTCATACTCTTTACGACTCTTGGCTTGCTGTGTGCCTCCTGGCGGAGTATGCCTCGTTCTCCCAGGTGCTTATAAAAAGTGGAGGGGAAGGCAGTGGTTCTGAGTAGTACCATGTGGTGGAGTCAGTTCACGTGTGTGTTAACTTCATTCACATAAGCCGGCTCTTGAAATAGTGGAGGCGGCTCTACCTGTTTTGGTCAGTGATCGTATGGCCTGGAGTTAGCACGAGGTGGGAGGCATGGGTCTGCCAGCCACCGGTTCCGTGTGCCTCCTTCTTCAGTGCGATGGCCTCAGCCAGGCTCAGTGGGTGCGGTTCTGGGGTCTAAAAACACTGCACGTCCCCCAGCAAAACAACTGCACCTAGTGCTCAAGCAGCCAAACAGCAGTCTTCCTATTGGGGAGAAGTGGATACTGAGAGATGCCAGGTCGGTTCCCCATACATGCCTTCACAAGTATTTTTCACGGCTACTTTTGACTGTGCGTGATTTTCACATCTCATGCTACATTTAGGTTGTAACCGCCATTCACGGTAGGACTCCGAGGTGTTCCTGCCTCTTCCCCTCAGAGAAAATCACAGAGTATGTAGTTTGGTACCTAATAAAGACATATTAATGGTCTTCATTAGAAGACTCTGTTTTACTTTGTTTTTTCCCCAGTGCTTCCCAAACTTACTTGATGTGAGGCTGGTTTTTTGGTTCTGCCTTTTATTATCCTATGGAACAGCTTTAGCACTTTTGAAAATGTTGTTTCAAAGCAGTTTGATTTGGAAGTATACACCGCAGTGCTCAATCTCCAGTTTGTATTGAGACCGTTTTTATTTAAATAAGTAACACTACCAAAAACCATTTCATCTGGAATCGGTGATACCGTTGTTCTTAGCGGGCCAGCCGTGGTCAAATGCTTATTGGTGTCTTTGCAGGGAAGCTGGCTGAGCAGAGGAAGCACAGCGAGGCGGCCACGGTACTGGAACAGTACGCCCAGGTAAGCCCAGTGCCTCCCTCCGAAAACTCTCCAGTTAACAAGCAAGTTGTGCCTTACGGACCATGAGAATGAAAGTAACCGTGAGTAATTGGAAGTTCAGAGGCAGTTTGCCCGACAGGTCATCCATCCTGCTGACCTGACTTGAAATCTGAATCCAGGATATCTCTGTAGGTTTGGCTAGGCACCAAGCAGCTCTGCTACAGCGTGTACCAGTGGTTTGACCTTGGCACGGAGACTAGATTACATCTCAAGGAAGTTATCATTTTTATGTTCACTTGCCAAAGTAGAAAGAAATGAGAAAGGGCCATTCTAAAACAAGGTGATTGAACTTTAAATACTTTTTTGGCTTTTACACTCATTTTCTCTGTTGGAAATATTTTTTTCACCTTGGGTAGCTTGCTGGGTACTGGTTTTTTTCAGCAGATTATAAAGATAAGTACTTTTACCAGCTTTTGCTAGAATTGCAGGATTTATTGTGAAAATAATAAAACTCTGGACTGATGATACTGGCCACGGACTAGCAGGACACGCTGGCACAGTTAACCCTAGAGATGGTTGCCTTCTACATCATTGTGCTTTTAAAATATTTCAGTGTCTTTTATGTCGTAAGGGTGAATGAAAGAAGATAACATTAATTTCATATCATTAGACCCTGTAAAGAAAGTATGTTGGGTGATTGGCAGAAAACAGCAACGAGCACAACACGCGTGACGCAGCAGGAAAGGAGGAGGGCCAAGTGTGAGACGGACTGAGTCCGTGGAGCCGAGCAGGGCTGTGCAGGGCAGGACACGGGGACGGCACTCACTCACAGGGTCGCCGGGGTCAGGGTCCACCTGTCAGCACACACAGCAACAAATGCAGAGGCTGGGGTAGAAGCATGTACCGCTTAAGAGGGTCAGCTGAATGGATAAGATGTTACTCTTTTTTTCTTTCGTAAAGGAAGGTTAATTCATATATACATATATATATGTGTATATGTATATATATATATATATTCCTATTTATTTATAATTTACATATGCTCAATTGGGATATTATTTGCATACAATAACATTTACCAGGTTTAAATTTAAATTGGTAAACAATTGGATGCATCTAGATTCTTCTAGTTTACAGTTGCGTAGCCACCATTATAATCACGATACTAAACTTTTCTCACACCCCAAGAAGTTCCTTATTTCCCCTTTTGCAATCAGTCCTTTTTCCCCACTTCCAGCCCCCATTAACCACTGCTGTGCTTTCTGTCATTACACTTTTGCTTTTTCTAGAATTTCATAGAAGTGAAAGACTACATCTGGTATGCGGTCTTTCTATTGTGGCTTTCTTTACTCATGTAATACTTTTGGTTTCTAACATTTCTTTTGATTCTTAAAATTTCCATCTCTTAGCTTACTTTGCCCGTCTGTTCTTGCGTTTGGTCTACTTATTCTATTAGAGCCATTACTATATTCATCTTGCTAATTTTAAATTCCCTGCCTCAATTCCAACATCCCTGCCATATCTGGGTGTGGTGATGAGGCTGGCTCCGGCTTATCAAACTGCTCTTTGTATTTTCTGTGTGCCTTGTTTTCTGTTGAAAACCTGATGTGATGTCCTGGGAAAAAGGAAATTCAGTAAATAGGCTGTTAGTGATGTGACAGGCGTGGGGACAGGAGAAGCTTCCTCGAGTCCTGTGATGAGGTCTCAGTCTTTTAGTGAGTCTGCGCCCCTGCCCAGTGACCTTCCTGGTGCCTCTCGGGTCTCTCCCCCCATAGGTCGCCCAGGAAGGCGGGAGGGAGCTGCAGTTGGGTAATGCCCTTCCCCCACGTAGGTGAGACCCTGGTGAACCCACTTCAGTTAGGTTCTGGCAAAATAGTTTCTTTCGAGGGTCAGCCTTGCAAAGAACAGCTTGCTTTGGGTGTATTTTGAAATGGCTACTTTCCCCTCTGCCTGCTGAAAGCTTGGGATTTCCTTCCGAGTCGCTGGGACAGCCTGTGGGTCTCCTAGGGGTGGAGACTCAGAGTTTTTAACTCTTAGCCTGACATCCATGGTGGGCCTTGTCCACGGTGCGCTGCAAGCTGTCAGTCAGTTACAGTGTGGATTTGTCCTGCCCCAGCACTCACTCTGGTAGAGATTGCTGTTTGTGGCTTTCTGCTCTGGCGAGTTGCAGCTCTCTGCCTCTGCCTCTCTGTCCCTCCGTTCACGGCGGGGCAGCGGTTTGCCCTGTGACCGCAATTCGCTGATGGATCTAAGAAGAGTCGGTGATGATTTTCAGTTTGTTCAGCTTTTTACTTGTTAGGATACAGTAACGACTTCCAGGTTTCTTGCATGCTGAGCCAGAAACTGGAAGTCTAATTAATGCTTTTTGAGATTCATCCATGTTGTAGTGTGTATCAATTTATTCGTTTTTTATTTTGTTGAATAGTGCTCCATTGTGTGAGTGTACCACAATGAAAAAATGAAAAGTAAGTGTTGGCAATGCTGTGGAGAGAGGAACCCGTGTACGTTGCCGGTGGGTGTGTAAAATGGTGCAGCCACTATGGAAAACAGTTGTTCCCTCAAAAAGTTAAAGAATCACCGTATGACCCAGTGGTCTCACTCCTAAGTATATATAAAGAGAAAAGGAAACATGTCGCCCATACCCATTGAGTCGCCCATACAGTTTGTAAATTTGCTCAGTTGTTTGGTTATGATCATCTTTCTATGTTAACACATTTTAATTTATCTAATAATTAAATTTTCCAAGTTCCTCAGTGCTTCCAAAATTGTTTACAGTAGATAGATTCAAATTAGGTTTCAATCTAAGGCCATGTATTACATCTTGTACCTTATGTTTTTAAATCTTCTTAAATTTAATGTGCACCCCTTACCTCCGTTTTTATGGCAGTAGTTTGAGGAAACCGTCAGTTGTCTTACATATTTCATCTTTTTAAAATGTATTTTGTTTTAAACATTTTATAAACATATTAAGTAATAATATTTTGGGATTCAGGATCAAAATTTTTACTGATAAGGGTACAAGCATCAAAAACATTTGAAGCCCACAGGAAGTTTATTACACTCATTTTTTTTCAGTTTTCTGTAGGTTTGAAGTTTTTTGAAATAAAACATTGAGAAGTAGAAAAATAAACATTTAAAAAGCAGGAAAAGCATTTAGAAGCTTACTATTCTAGTGACCGTTTCTTCAAAGTGTGGATTTGTTAATTCGGGAGCCCACTTATGCCTGGTGGTGAGGCTGGGGAATGGGCATTTTTCACAGACCTTTTTGGTCGTTTGGATGCTCAGGGATGTAGGGAGGTGACACTTACAATGTGTTTTTTCATTATTTCTAGAATGCACACCTTACTTTGCCTTTGGGTCAATATTTATTGAGCGTGTACTCCAGACCAGGCGTGGAGCTGGGACCGTAAGGGAGAGCCGGAAAGGCACGTGAGGCGTCTGACCCGCCTGCTCCACTAACCTGTTATCTGCTTTGACGTTCCTTTGTCAGGATTATGAAGAAGCCGTGCTCTTGCTGTTAGACGGAGCTGCCTGGGAAGAAGCGCTGAGACTGGTGAGAGAACTTTAAAAATCCTCCCAGCGTTAGGTGCAAGGGGGCGGGGGGGGGGCGAGGGGTTACAGACAGGGTCAGAGGAGCCCCTTGTCTTTGGAGCTTGTGAAGTGAAGTAGTAGTTTGGGTTCCCAGTCTGAGGATACGCGGTGCTTTAGAAACAATGTTAAAATTCTTGACGTTGGGAATTAGTTGGTCCTCTAACTGTGAAGTACTACTGTTTTTTACCGGAGTGAGCGCTAAAAAATGTCCTGGTCCCTCTGAAAGTGATGCACTTCTTTCCAAGTATCTTGAACATTTCCTTCCTAAAATTCCCGTCTTCTTCCTTCTAGGTATACAAATACAACAGACTGGACATTATAGAAACCAACATAAAGCCTTCCATTTTAGAAGGTGCAGGTTACATTTTTTAATTTTTTACCCTCACCCAAGGTTATTTTTTCACTGCTTTGAGAGAGAGGGGCAGCGGGGAGAGAGAGAGAGAAAAACATCATTGTGTCAAATATTGATTGGCTGCCTTCTCATATGAGCGCCATCCAAGGTACACGCCCCAACCCGTGATTGAATACATAACCTGGATCTGTGTCCTGACTGGCAGTTGAACCTGCGACCTCTCGGTCTGTGGGGCAATGTTCCAACCAGCTGAGCCACACCAGCCAGGGCGGAGAGGGTTGCATTTAAATAGAATTTCTCACTTGGATGTACAAAGATGGGGAGGGGAGGGGAGTGTGCTCCCTGTGTTATTATTAATTCCTTTACTCACGTGTTACGTGGAGTCAATCAGAATTCTCCACTGGTATGATACTTGATTCTGACCAGGGTTTTTAATACGCTAACCTGTTAAGTGATACCACATAAAATATTTGAAGGTTAAAAAGTTGTAATTAAGGTAGGGTTAAGAATCTTTGTATTTGGGAATAGTTGGTAAACTTGAAAGGAATAAGTATGTTTTATCTGTGGACAATTTCCTACATTTAATAATTATATCGTGGTTATATAATATTAGATAATACCCTTATTCTTAAGAGAGAGATACTGAAGTGTCAAGGAGGGTTCGTATCTGAAACCTAGTCTCAAAAGTTTCTATAAAAATAAGAGAAGAAACAGGAAGCCGAAAATACGGCAAAACGTTAAGAACTGGTCGTCTAGGTTCCCTGTGGGGTTTATGTCTGTCCGTTGAACAACTGCAACATTTATGTAAGTTTGACATTTTTTCAAAATAAAAAGTGAAAAGAACCTTTGCAGATTTAGTTGGTGGTTCCTAGAGAAAGGATGAGTGGCCACCAGAGTGGAATGCTCTGGTGGCCTCTTTGTCTGTCCCCTTACAAGCAAGGCTGAAAAGAAGGGCATCAGTTTGACTTCTGGAAACTGGGGGGAGTTGGGGGGTGATTTTCAGCCCTGCCATTTTTAGCACCGTCTACGGTCTAAGTGACATCTGGCCTTCCCGACAGGAACATGTATTCACATTCGTTCCCTGCCTGCTGCACCCTCCCCCATCCTAGTTAAAACCTTGGGAGGGTTCTTTCTGTATCATTCACTTTAGGTACCCCTGCCTGGGTACCAAAAGCATCCTTCCTGGCCCTACAGCAGTCCCTTAGCCAGCTCTTCCTTAAATTTTCTCCATTATTGAGAACCTAGAAAAATACTAACAGTTCATCTGCATAGACAGGACTAACACCTGTGTTTAAGAAGCATTTCAGTGGCTCCTCTTTTTGTTAACAGCTTCCTGTGCACTTTTTTTATTTGCCAGTCCTGTTTTGGGTTAGGTGTCAAGCCTTTTTAGGTGATTTTGCACATTTTGTGGTAGGGAGTCTTGTAGGATGACACTGATGAGCTCTAAGGTCTGAAATCTCAGTATCTAGTTCATTCTCCTAAGATGATGTAGGTTAATACTCACTAAGAAAAAAATATTGCATGGAAAACTTAGTAACCTATTTCTTTTTGTTCAACTCCAGCTCCCTTACTCCTGCCACTCTACTTTTCTCTCTGTATAACCATCACACTGGAATTATTTTCCATCCCCAGCCCAGAAAAATTACATGGCACTTCTGGACTCGCAGACAACCACATTCAGTCGTCATAAAAAACGTTTGTTGGTGGTCCGAGAGCTCAAGGAGCAAGCACAGCAGCACATGCATCTGGGTGAGAGTTACGGGAACCACGGAGCCAGGTGGACGACAGCATCGCACTTTGTCTTAGCCACGTATTGTGCCTCTGGCAGTATGAGTCCCGTGTGGTGGGGAAGTCCAAGGCCTCTGTGAAAGCCCTCTGGGGGCTGTGCGTGTCTGTCTGTCCGTGTGTGTGGGCGGGCTCGGGGGCAGGACCAAGCACAGGTGGGAAGACTCTGCCAAACCTTCCCCCCAGTCCCCCCCCAACCAGAATGGTTGACTACTGTGTTTTACAAAGTCTCCTCATTTTCTAAAAGTTACTTTGCTTTAGTAAAAAGAAAGAAAAGACTAAACAGGTTTGGTATTGGTGAACTGGTGTGTGGTAATAATAGCTATTTAATATTATCTCATTTCATTTTGAGACAGACTTTGTAATAAATTTTGTGTGTCCTTAGATATGCCCTGGTTCACTCTAATCCACTTACTCTACTGAAGGTTAACCACATTAGCAGGGAGTGTTCATTCCCCACCTGGTTCTTCTTTTCTAGATGATGAAGTGACACATGGCCAAGAGTCTGACCTCTTCTCTGAAACCAGCAGTGTCATGAGTGGCAGCAACATGAGTGGCAAATACTCCCACAGTAACTCCAGGATATCAGCGTACGTATCACGTTTACCCCGCACACCAACCGCCCTGGGGAAATGGAGAACGTACAAGCAACTGGGTCAGTTTTCCACCGGGGCTTGCAGCAGGAGCCGTAGGCCAGGACTCTCCCAGACACCTCATAGATTAGACTCAGCGTCCGGATGTTTTCTGCTGAAGCTTCGTGGCCCCTGGGCTTACCCAGTGCCTGCAAGGACCTTCCACCCGGTACTCAGTTTATAAACATCTGATTTTACTCATTTAACACATTGTAAGTGACTGTAATGGATGGGCACTGAAAAAAAATGAAAAGATTGGAGTCTTCAGTTCAGAGTCAGGGTTGGAAGAGGTCACAAATGTAAGTTATCACACTTTTACTCAGAGTAGCAGTTTGTAGAAGTATTTATTGAACGCTCATATGCTAGTTGTGGTGGAGGTTATGAAAAACTTTTAAGGAGTTATGAGTTATAAGAGCTATGGCCTTACTCGGGAGACCTAACAGTGCAAGGTGATACATTTAAACTGAATTGATCCGGAGGATGTGGGAGGCAATCGGAAACTGCGAGAAAGGCAACTAGAACTGGGTCTTTTAAGAGTCGGAATGAGAGAGTCCCATACAAAACAAATGGCGTGTTAAAGACCTCTGAGGCAGGAAAGAATGTGGGATTCATGGATACTTTATTATATTCAAATTTCAGTCTAGTGTATCTGTGTCTTCTTATTTAAGCTTTATTTTGTTGCCTTTAAATTTGTTTTTCATTATAAAATTCAAGTTCGATGTTGTTCTATTCATTATTCCAGGTTTTAGTATCAGGTGTAACCTTATTTTACTCTGTATTTTAATTAAAGGTCAAGGCCAGGAGGAACTTCTTAGGGTTTTCCTTATTCCTGCCTGTAAGACTGGCCTCTCCCCATTACATTTCTTCTATCCCTTTAACACCTCATTGCCATTTCTCCCAAGCACAGATTCATCTGTAGCCGCCTGGTCTCTCAGAAAGTTTTTGGCCAACAGGCACATTCATTTTAACTTGTCCAGCACAGGAGAGCCCTTGTAAAAACATCTCTAATTTTCAACAGGCGATCATCTAAGAATCGCCGCAAAGCAGAGCGAAAGAAGCACAGCCTCAAAGAAGGGAGCCCCATGGAGGAGCTGGCGCTTTTGGAGGCTCTGGGTGAAGTGGTACAAGGTGCTGAAAAACTGAAAGGTATTTATTTGCCTGGTACTGACTGATGATTCCTGCCCACAGACAGATGGCAAATGGCCTGCACAGACAGACAGAATTTGGTGCACAGCAAATACACAATTTTCCCAACTTGAGGAAAGATGAAAACTGTCGGTAGGAAGCGACATTTTAGGGCACATTCCTGAAAGAGCCCCCCTCGGATGATACCCTAGGACCCTCCCTCCACTGGCATCCTGTACATACAGTACCTGAGTGGGAGAGCTTAGCGCCAAGGGCAAGGTCAAGGACCGTGGAGTCCTCCCACTTGGGGCCTCAGTGGGTGTGTCTTTCCCTTTGTCGTGGATCTGTTGCATGACTCCGGCACGGGGAAGAAGCAAGAAAGTGTGGGAGGTGGCAACTGTCATGTGGTGCTACATGTTTTTCTATAAGAAAGGAACTGTGTTACGATTCTAGCTTGGAGCTGGGGGCACACCTTAACACCCCTCCCATTTTTGTTCCCTAGATGAAATACGCTGTATTTTAAAGGTGCTCTTTCTCTTTGAGTTTGATGAGCAAGGAAGGGAATTACAGAAGGCTTTTGAAGATACTCTGCAGCTAATGGAAAGGTCCCTGCCAGAAATTTGGACTCTCAGCCACCAGCAGAATTCAGCTAGACCTGTAAGTTTTTCTCAAAGACAAAATGTGCATTTTTTTCATCATTTTACAGGTTAACACTCACACGGTCTCTTGAAAGTCAAAGCAAAAGACTTTTCCTGTTTTTAAAACATAACATGCTGTAGTTAAATCATCTGAAGCTTACATTCAAGCTGTCATTAAGGTTTTATAGTTGTTTATACGGTGACTCGTACACCTTGGCCTAGATTACGTTTGAGTCGATGTCCCCTCTCTGTGTGGAACGGCTGTCACGGAGAAGATGGGCAAGTCACGCAGCTGCCCCTCACCTTCAGTGGGATTGGGTGGACAGGGGGAGGTGTTCAGACTTGCGGGTGGCACCGGGGTTTTCAGAGGAGCCCCAGACCATTGCTTTTCCTTTTGTTTTGTGCAAAATTTGACTTGTTCCTTCTGTGTTGTCATGATGATCCTTATAAATTATGTTTAAGGCTATGTCCCATCAGAAACGATAATGTGTTATCATCCATTTATTGTTGATACCTCTGCTCAGTCTCCCACAGCTCGGGTCTGTGAAGACTTCTGATTCAGATTCAGAAAGGCAGGTGTCAGTCAGGGCCCGACAAGGAAAACAAAACGCTCTGCTGCTTTTTTATCAGAGTGGATTTGGTGCGTGGAACTGCCGAGACGAGACTCGGAGGACTGATGGGAAAAGGGGACCCCTTAGAGGAGGGACACTGAGATGGGGGCTGTGGGAGCTGCTGAGAGAACAAGGGGAAGAGTTTGGGATCGTCAGACTGTAGAAGTTTGCAGGTGGGGCCCTGCTGTGTTGGTTGATCCTCCGAGAGGAGGGTGCCAGCCAGCTGGCGCTGGTATTGCTCAGAGCACAGTGAGGCGGCTTCTCAGTGTAGAGAAGTAAGGGGACACTGGGTGAACGGCTGCTGGTAGCATAAAGAGCTGTCAGCACTACCGAACAAAAGGAAGCACATGGAGGAGGAGGTCCTTCTCCCCCGACCCTGCACTCTCCCTCTGGTGTGGAGCTGGCTGACAGAGGAGTGTTTTCTGGGGCTCCCGGCCCAGTATCAAGGGGGGTGCGCAGAAGGTGGGTGTGGAACTCAGAGGGGCTGGTCATCCGCTCGCTGGTTAGAAGTGCACCAGTGAACTGGCCTTGATTCCTCAGTTACAAGTGGGGATAGGGCTTCCCCTGTACACATTGTGAAATGTTTTAGATGTTAGATAAAAGGGCAGATGAAAAGGCATCTTACACACCATAAAAATCAACTCAGAATTGTTACTCTCACAAATACTTGAATTTACTGTAATAAGCATTTCCTAGAAGAAATGTGATCACCTTTAAAACTCCAGTGATTTCAAAGCTGACAATTTATAATGCTTCCTTCACCCTCACCCTTCCCCACCCTCTCCTATTCAGATCATGCTAACTGTATGAGTCTTATAGGGAAAATGACTGGCAATATTGGGGTTTCGCTTTGGTGGTTAAAGGGTGGTAATGGCACACATGCAGGGCACCACGAGTCACGTGCGAGTGCTTGGAGCTCTGACACTGCTGCTCGGGTGCCGCCAGGGGGCCACCGGCGCTTCCTCCTGCAGACCCGAGTACAGGCAGAGGGCCTGGTGTGCGCACGCCCAGGCGTGTGTGGGTGTGGAACTCCGTGAGGTGCCTTGTTTTACCTTGAACACACACGCAGAATTTCCACTCTATTCCATGATATGAGCCTTCCTATCCTCTATAAAAATTCCCACAAATCTTTGAATAGAGTTCGACACTCTTTAAGTATTCTGTAGTCTCTTGTACCATTTTCTGTCCCCTCAGGGTGTGGCTTGCTCATTTGTAAGGAAGGGATCAGGCATAGAACATTGTGGATTCCTCCTCCTCCTCCTTTTTTTTTTTACAAGAGAAAACAACCATATTATCATACGTACATATATATGGGAACCCCACATACAGGAGAGTCTGAGACCTCACATACAGGAGTGGCTCCCAGATTCTCTCTCTCTTTTTTTTTAATCCTTGTCATTACCTTGTTCTTCTGATAGAAAGGAGACTTAGAGGTCTGAGTTGAGACTGGAGGAACAGGCAAATTGAAGTCACAGGAAGAGAGAACTACCGTGTGGGACGCCTTAACAGCGGAAAGGATGGGCTGTGAATTGGCAGCGGAGAGCTGGCCATTGGCCTTGCGGTCATCAGAAGTACAGACCATCTTCGCTGACACCCCTCCTTTTTCCTTAGGTTCTGGGTCCCAAGTCCACTACAAACAGTATCATGGCCTCTTATCAACAACAGAAGACGTCAGCTCCTCTTCTCGGTTAGTATTTGTTTTCCCTTTTTAAATTGTCACAGTTCTGAGCAGAAGGAATATCTTCCTGCACGTGTCGAGAACTCCAGCGGTATGAGGTGACGCTGGCTGTTGGTGGCCTCGATTCTACAACTGCGTCTCTAGTAAAATCAGTTTAGTGCTTCTAATGTTGGCAACCTGGAAGGGGTGGAATCCAACGTGACATTAAGTGTATAATTTTTTTTTTTCAGTTGCCCTGACATGTGCTTATCATGACAGTGGCATATTCTTGTCCATACGGGCGCATCACAGTTGAAGTTTGAGTCTAAACTTCACATATATTTCACATATTTTACATATATAAATTTTGCACATGTCGAATTTACACATATATTTTAAGTATTCTCCTGAATCATGATTTTTGGCTATTGGCAGTGTGTGTCTTGGGGATGTTTTCATAATCCTGAAGAGCTGGACCTTTGTCATCGTTTTCAGGGTTGACAGTGTAATTTGAAAGCAAATCCAAAGCACGTTGTTTGTCGAGGGGAGATGATTCTCAGATTAGCCATCCGTCAAAGCTAGAAGTCCAAAAGGCTTTCCTTTGAAAGTTGACTAGAAGCTTTTGACAAATCAGTTTGGTACCTGAGTGTTTGCCCTTCAGGTGGATTAATCAAGCATGTCAATCTCGTAGCTTTGAAGAGTTAGCAATATGTTTAAAATGGTGGTTTTTACTGCTGCGATCCGCATTTTCTGGTGTGTGACAGGCAGCAGTCTGACATTTTCTTATTTGAATGCTGTACTGTAATAGCATTTGACAACATTTGGAGAAGTCATGGAGGGGCTGCTTGATTAAGTTTAATGACTTGTATTGCTGCCAGAAATGAACAGTGAACTGCCTTCCATCCCAGCGAAGGTCATCCGCTGTCTCTGGACAGCGACTGCCGCACCCCCGGCCCCCCTTCTTCCTGGAAGCAGCAGCTCCCTGGATCGTATCAGTCCCAGAGCGAACTGGTTTCCCAGATGCTACAAAGTCATCTGAGACCTGAGGCAGTTTAGTAGTTGTTTAATTTGTGCTATGTCGAATCCAATAATTTCTGCCCCATTTTCCTCCTTGCTGGCCTGATGCTGACCTTTGGGTCAAGTCCAGTCACACTGTCCCCTGGAGTGTTCTGGATGGTTGTATTTGTCAAAGAGCACTTCCATTTTCTAGCTGAGCCTCAGTGAGAATAATATTTTGAGGCTCCTCATGATCTGAATACGTATTATCCAGGCCCTTGTGCTTACAAGATTATATAGGAAAAGAGAATGCAAGAGTGGCAGAGGAACTACTCCCAAAAGGAGTCCCACTCAAGTATCCACTACTTAGCCCAGTCCAGCCAGCAGCAGCAGCAGTGAAGCACCCTCACACGTCCCCACGCGTGGGACCGTCACTTGACGGGGAGTTCTCTCTTACTGTGTTTACAGTGCAGGGAAAGAGCATGCAGATCAACTTACAAGTCTTGCACAACTGCAGGATTTTGTAAAGTGGATTGTAGTGTCATCAGAGAAGTACTGAGCTCATAGCTGAGCTGGACTTGTTACAGTTGCTAACAAAATACGTGCTTCACATGAGAATGATTTGGCTGTCAGAGGATGAAGAAGAGCCCCTGGAAAGTTGGTAAACCCTGTCGTGCGTTTCAGTGGAGCCCCTGTTTCTGAGTCGTGAAACGCAGACGCGGGAGCGTGAAGGGCGTCCGTCCCGCTGCCACAGCGCTTGTCCCAGAACCTCCTTCCCGGCCCGGAGCCGGTGCTCACTCTTTATTCTTGGTTAAGTCTAGGAAGCAGACGCTGTCGTAGTTATGCCTAACTTTTTAATAAGGTAGAATGTATTTTCATAACTTGTTTTTTAAAAAAACAGATGAAGTCTCAAAGTTTAATCACTACTTAACATAAAATTGTGGGCCTTGTTGACAGTGAATTTATTTAAGTCGTCTTTCCCAGTGTGAGTATTCTTAAATCGGTAAGATCTCCTGTAGTCTTATTGATGTATTTTTTTGTGTGGGCCACTGGGGAGCATTCATTGCATTAGAAATTATAAAATTGATACTATTAGTAGAAAAATCTGGATTGTACAGAAAAGTATGTTAAAAGAAAATTAAAATTTGATGATTTCTGTCATGTGTAAATACATATATTTAAGTATAATATGAAAACCATGTTTTTAAAAACTTTCCTGAGCAGTTTTCTCACATTGTTAAATATTCTTGAAAATAAGTTTTAGTGGATGTGTGGCTCCCATATATAGGTGAACTGTTGGAAGTTTATCAGGAACCCTGCTAAGACAGGACATTTTTATGCACACATATTTTCTTATATCTCTGCTTCCCATATATGATTCTTGCCCTGGCTGGTGTGGCCCAATGGATTGAGGGCTGGCCCGTGGACTGAAAGGTCGCTGGTGAGTCCCAATCAGGCAGGTGCCTGGGTTGCAGTCCAGGTCCCCCACTGGGGACATGCAGGAGGCAAGCAGTCAGTGTTTCTCTCCCTCTCTTTCTCCCTCTTTCCCCTCTTTCTAAAAATAAATAAATAAACCTGTATATGATTCTTGTTTAGGTAAGAGGCTCCACACATCTAACTAAAATAGGGATATTTGTGTTGATCAGTGCATTTGTAGAATTTTAAAAAAATATTTTATTTCTTTATTTTTAGAGAGAGGGGAAGGGAGGGGAAAAGGGGGGGGAGGGAGAAACATCAGTGTGTGGTTGCTTCTCACGTACTGCCCACTGGGGACCTGGCCTACAACCCAGGCAAGTGCCCTGACTAGGAATTGAAGCAGTGGCCCTTTGGTTTGAAGGCTGGCACTCAATCCACTGAGCCACACCAGCCGGGGCAATTTGTAGAATTTTTTTTTTATCAAAGTATTTTCGTTCCTTTAACTTTACTTACTGAATACATGCCACCAAGTTTCTTTTACTCTACAATTGAGGTAAATTTTACATACAGTCAAATGTATAGATTTTAGGTACCTAGAGTTTGATGGGATTAATGTAATATGGCCTAGAAAGTACTACCACCACCACCACCCATCCGAAACAGAGCATTCTTTGACTTCAACTCACTCGGTGGACATTTGTCTGCAGCTCTCCGTGTGTCTGAAGTTGGAATGGAATTCCTCTCCCCGGGCAGGCCTCCAGGCTGTGTTTGCTCTGAGCGGAGGTTGTAAGGTAGTAGAAATAATCCTCATTCTGATTGTCCTGTAGAGGCAGAGCTCGGTGACCCAGCTTTAGGTGAGAGTTACTGCCTCAGCTTCCACCAGCAAGAACCAGTGTGTTCTATCACAGTCTCCTTCTTTTTTACTAGATGCTGAGCTTTTCATGCCCCCGAAGATCAACAAAAGAACCCAGTGGAAACTGAGCCTTTTAGAGTGACGGGTCCTATCCAGGAGGACCCTGCTGGAGAGGACCGTCTTCTCTCCGCTCCTCCCTCGCTCCTCGAGGCCTGGCTGCTGAGCACTGGGAAGGAAGAGTAAGAGGACGCCCTGCCTAGCGCAGCATTGCCGAGAGCTGCTCTGTCCAGCAGACCGCTGCAGACGGGGAGCAATTCTAGTCTGTTTTCTTTTGTTTTGCATAGAGTTTTAATTAGCGAAACTTTACTGTTTACCCAGTGTAGCATCATTGTGTAAGAATTACTGTTCTTTTATTCAGTACTGTTGCAGAGCACATTTCTGGTGTTTATGGTGATCAGGAGATGGAATTTCATTCCTGGTTGCGTGTCTGACTCATATTGGGACCTTAGACAAGTCACATAGTGAACCTGTGCCTCAGTTAACTGGGAGTAATGATTCATGGCTTCTACCTCAAACATGTGAAGAAAAGTAAAGTAATGTTTTTGAATCGCTTTACGTTCCTGGAGGAGAGCATTATATACAAACAATGTGGCTGTTAGTATTACCAACATTTAGCACATTTAATCACTTGACTTTTTTGCCTTGAACTAAAGCAGAATAAAAAGCTAAATATGTCCTTTGAAATTCCAAAGTTTCCATGCTAACAGCTGTTATTTTGTAATATCTTACCTGGACATGTGCTTCCAGTTATGACCGGGTTGAGCTTCCTGTCACTACAGTGTCCACAGGGACTATTTTCACTGCTTGCGAGTTTCTGCTACAGTCAGCAGAACAGATCGGAATTCCTGGGACAGTGCTGTGCCCATTTGTCACGGCGAGCTGCGTTCTTCTTGGGGCATGCACAGTTATCCTTTTTCTCCAGATATTGCTTCTTTTAATGTAATGTTTTTGTCAGTGTCTAGAGACTATTTCATTTATTTTTCAGTATGGTACTTAACTGACCTCTTTTAGTTATTTTCTTTGAAAGAAATGCAAATGTTTTTTTGATCTGGAAAAAAGCTCATGTCCTTTTGACAGTAGTTTTGTGGCTGATTCTTAGGTAAGATTAAAAATTTCTTCCATGCCTTTAACAGCAGAATCAGACCTTCATTACTGTGTATCAACAAACAGGAAATGCTGCTTTTGATTCTCAGAGTATTGATATGTCCAGAAATGTAATGAAGACTTTTCTTAATGTAGCAAAATGTTAGCTGTAGAATCTAGGTGTGTTCACTGCATGATTCAACTTTTCTGTGTGTCTGAAAATTTTCACAAAATATTAGAAAAAAGAAGATATAAAGATATATTCTGCTTTGGAGAAACTGACTTTCTGAGTGACCCCCCCGTGGATTTGCTATAATTGAGTGCCCAGCACTGGAAGGCTGCAGTGCTTGGTGGCTCCCCTTTGGCCTGGGGACGTGAGCATGGTGACTGGTACCCCATTCCAGTGAGTCGTAGTGAAGGGACCCCTGCTGAAGGATGGGAAACACAAGGAGATGTGTGTCAATCACAGTGTGACCTCACGGGCGATCAGTTTTCTTAAAATAAGCTGAAGCAGCAAGAAAGAATTTGTGTGAACTCTTTCAGCTCAAATTACTATCAATTACTATCTGTTGGAAGCAAGATGGAATTTTTTTATTTGGAGAAAAAGCAGGTGGGAGCAGACCTTCCAAATTGAAGGCAAAGTCAAGGAAGAAATCAGCAGTGAAAAATACAGTGTATGGGAAAAAGGGAGATCCTGGGAGTGATGAATACTTCATTTTGGGGAAAGATTCTGTCAAGTTCTAGAAGAGAGTATATAACTCTTCCCCCAAATTTGGACTCTGTCCCAAAGCAAGTCCATGCTGTGATGAGCTAGAGGCCTTCCTTGTTTCATTGGTTCCGTTGAGTCAGCATCGCTCAGCTGCCCCAGACGTGAAGAGGTAACTTCCAGACAACTGTCTCCCAGAATCAAAGTGCGCTTTAAATTTACACGCCTTGGAAAAAAAAAAAAAAAAAACTAAGGCAGGAGCTAATGTTGTCATCATGTCTTTGTGAGTCTAGCTTGGTGTCATTTCTTAGCGCCACCACATACAGTGTTTGTTAACATTTTTCCATACATACTTATATACACACGTGTACACATTTGAGAGATTTTTAATGGCCATAATTGAAGAAGGTGTTTTTAAAAATAAGTAAAACTGCTGATTTTTCATAATTTAAGGAAACCACAAGTTTGGGAAGCAAACTTAGCTCCCCTCTCACACCGCCCCTGGGCTGTGCTGGCCCATAAACTTCTGTGCTTCACGGGAAGCACCTCCCGGACAAGCCCCTGGGAATTGTTGGTTGTGCCTGCTTGTCCGCCATGTTTGTGAGCAACTGGGGTGAGCATGAACATCTTAGAAGCTGAGTGACCATGAATATCGAAGGTTCTGTGGACCAGCTGGAGCTAACACTGCTGTTTGGCAACACTACAGACCTGCTCTGGACTCCCATGTTCTCTCTGCTCCCCTGGCGCTTGTATGTGCCTCGTGGTCGCCATCACTCATTTCGCTCTGAAGTCCCAGGAGTTTGACAACCAGGTTCCAGAGTAACTTAGGATGTCCTCCTGGCTTGCAGGAAAAACAAAGCCACGAGTCTATGCATTTTAGTGTTCTTGGACACAGTCATTTGATTTCACTGAATCTTGCTCTGCTACAGCCTGTGTCCCCATTAGGTTTCTCAGCCCTGGCACTTGTGACACTTTGGGTCATGTCATTCTTTGTTGCAGGGGGCTGTCTTGCCCATTGTAGCGCGTTAAGCCACATGTCTGACCTCTGTTCTCTAGATGCCAGTATCACATACTGCCCACTCCTGTCACAACAACCAAAAATATCTTCAGATATTGCCAGTGAACCACTGGGCTAAGACTTCCAAATGCTAAAAGCATTCACTTATTTGTGAAGAGGATTCTTTTTTTCTACAAGGGCATAAGGATCAAGTGAGGGAATTCATAAAAGAGCTCTGAAAAAGACTATGCAGTTGTTTAGCTTTATGTTGGTATTTTTCATTTTAAAGATTTATTTTAGAGAAGAAGGTAGGGAGAGGGAGAGAAATATTGATCAGTTGCCTTTCACACGCCGCCCTGACGGGGGACCAGGCCTGCAACCCAGGCATGTGCCCTGACCAGGAATTGAATTGGCACCCTTTCACTTCGGGGGACAATGCCCAACCAACTGAGCCATGCTGGTCAGAGCTGGTACTTTTCACTTGAAAAGACTGATATTTAGACCTAGGATGGCCTGGATATTCCCATCATCCGGAGCCGCCTCCCATGCCTCCCTGTCATCAAGACCCTCACTTTTGGTGGGGAGGGATTCCTGACTTGGGTTATGGACCCTTAATGGATCTGAAGATAGTTTTTGATCGTTCCTGTACGATTGTTTTCCTCTAATCCCAGACTTTCTTACTCTGCCAAAGAGGTTCAAAGGTTAAGAATCAACCAAATTCAAGCCACCCATCAGTGAATGTTGACAGTGTTGATGCTGAGTGGTGTGGGCAGAAACCGATGAACATACACACCGCCTTCTCGTGTCAGTGCCCCCGGCTCCTAGCTGATCTGAGTCGCCAAGCTGCAGGAACACCTGTCAGCCACCTCTGCTTTCCTGCTCCAGCCTGCTGATGCCCGCCAGCTGTGCTCTCGCACCAGGCCTGGATCTGGAGGCTACCATGTGTGTTTTTTCAGGCTGTCTACGCAGACCTGGGGGCTGTGAGCATGGTTCTGTAGGGCTTTTCCCCCTGGCATAGTAGAGATGCCACAGCTCTCCTGCGAGTGTGCCTTTGGAGGGGTAGAGGGCCTGGTGCAGGAGATTCCAGACCAGGTAAGACTTGGGCCCCTGTGTAAGAGATAGAAGTCTACAAGGTAATCCTAACAACACTGGAGATCCCCTCCTGGAGGCCAGACGTTGGTATTCAGGTACTTTGTGAGAGATTGGACCACGTCAGCATGCTTCCTACCAGTGTTCATCAGACAGGGTCGTCTGCATCACAGCAGCGTGCGATTGGTCAGCACACCCCCTTCCAAGCAGATCTTAACAATACAGTAGTTCCTACAGTGGGAAATACACAAAATAAGGGCCACCATAATTTTTGAGCTGGTTTCTCCCAAGAACACTCAAGCAGTTAACATGTGAAGCACATCTTTTCTACCATCCCATCCCCTGCCTCCGCTTTTGTGTCGGCAAGTGCATATTTTAAGGCAGAGCCGCAGGTACGTTCTCATTAAGTCGGGAAGCAGAGACATACACCGCGGAGGGGAACAGATTGTTTAATCCTGCCCGAGTGGGCATGCTGGCTCAGCTCCCCAAGTGCGGGGAGGCGCTCACCTGGCAGAGTGGGCACGAGGCAGCCACAGTGACCACACCTCCCCAGAGTTCAGAAGCACTTTTTGTAGAGAAATACAGGCCCGTGTTCCTCGTACTCAGAGCGGTGGACCCACAGTGCTTGGAAGCCCTGGAGCGAGGCCAGGATGGAGCCACCCGTCCACACCGCAGTGTCTCTTCCAGGCAGCACCTTTACCTGGGGGTTGTCATGGGGACACAAGCTGCTCAGCTCCTTCTGCAGACGGTTGGGGAGACCGCTGAGCAGAGTGCTGCCCCCGCAGAGCAGGATGTTCCCCATGAGGTCCCGTTTGAGGGCCACGTCACACTTGTTGAGGCAGGACACTGTCTGGGTGTGGAGGCCCAGCTGCATGGACTCGATCAGAGACGGCTTGAAGAACATCTCCGAGCAGAGGAACCTCTCCTGGCCCAGGCTTATCTCCTGCCCGTCCGGCAGAGTGTACTGGGTCTTGTGCGCAGTAGCTGGGACCTTCTTCTCTTCGATGGGGTCCAGGGCCACGAAGCAGCATTTCTTCTTGATGTCCTCCACGATGCCCATCTGGGACTCCGTGAAGTGTTTCCCACAATTGTTCATCAGGTCCATCAAGTAGGCTGTCAGGTCCGAGCCCGCATAGTCCAGCCGTCCCGTGATGCTGGGCAAAGGATAGCCTTCGTAGATGGGGACCACGTAGGACACGCCGTGGCCGACCTCCACGACCAGGCCGGAGGTCCTGCCGTAGGAGTACATGGACAGGCGGGACTGGTAGGCGATGTGCATCGCAGGCGTGCCGAAGGTCTCAAACAGCATTTCGGCGTACTTCTCTCTGTTGGTGTGCGGGCTCAGGGGCGGGTCCGACACCAAGACCGCGTGCTCCTCGGGGGCGATCTTCATCTCTTGCTGGAAGAGATATTCCCAGATCACCTGCACAGAATCCCAGTCCACGATGATGCCGTGCTGTAGAGGGTTGATAAGCTTGAGATGAACCTCCGGATGGAGGAGCTCCCGCCCCACGAACGTCTCTTTGCGGTTGTCCCCCGTTTTGGCCGTCTCCACGTAGGGCTTGCCCACGGTCGATGAGATCTTGTGGCTGGGCGTCGGCAGCCCGGCAAAGCCACACTTACAGTAGCCAGTGCCAAGGTCCACAACCACAGCCTTGGTCACCTTTACCTCGGGCTTCTCGGCCTCCACAGATTTAGTAGGTTCTTCTGGCTCCGAACAGGCGCGGCGGACCCACACAGCGCGCTTCGCGGGGCCGTCCCTCAGGAAGGCGGCCTGGAGGACCTGGGTGTTCACGGGGGCCTGTTCGCCCTTTCTCTTCTCGGGCCCGTCGCCCATGACTGCTGCCTGGGGGGCCCACGTGCTATCAAGAGCCATCTTGCTCTCGGAGAGTTCCTTGATCCCACTGGCTTCAAGGCCTGAAAGGCTTCAATCAGGGCAACTTGAGAATTTTCCCTAAGATGACATCATTGATTATGACATAATCCAGTGACCTGGGGCTTTCTAGGTACCGGGAAACTTTGTCCTATGTTAGGGTTGATTCGGGTAGTATTTTTGAGGTGTTTTACCTTTTTCTAAATGTTGTAATCAACCCGGTTCATCTAGTCAGTATGTACTGAGTGTTTGCTATGTGCAAGGCAGCTCGGAATACAAGACTGGGAATAGAAGTAGAAAAAGAAAACTCTGTGTCCCTGTAGAGTTGACATGTTCATCCGTGGGAGTTGGGGAGACACGGACAATCACCGGAAAGGGACAGGGAGGGTGGCCGTGTTAGTGTGCCTGGGCAGGGCCCCCTGGGACAGTGGCACCGAGGGAAGACCTGAAGGAGGCAAGGGGGAGTATGTCCAAGGGGCAGATGCAGAGGGGCGGGAGCAGACACGTTTCTGACGAAACATGGAGCGGGGCCGGCAAACCGCGGCCTGCAGCCTGTCTTTGTAAATAAAATGTTATGGGAATACAGTCACTGTCTGGCTGCATTTGTGGAGTCATTGCAACAAGGACCTGTGTGGCTCCCCAAGCTGAAAATAAATACTCCCTGGCCTTTTACAGAAACAGCTTGCAAGCCCCCGAGGGGAGCTTGCAAGGATTCCAAGAAGGCGAGTGTGGCTGGAGTGGAGAGAGCGCGGTAAAAGACATGAGATAGGGGGACTGAGGGGGCCGGAAGGGTGCGCAGCTCACGGTGGGCCTCCTGGGCCGTGGCTAGGACTTGGGCTCTGACTCGGCATGAGATCAGCACCGGAGAACTCTGAGCAGGGAGTTAACCCCATCTGATTCAGATCTCAGCAGGCATAATTGCTGCTGTGGTGACTGGGCCGAGAACTTTCATCTCCTTTGTTCCTTAGGACAATCTGCAGAAGAATTATTTTTGGACACCCATTTGTACACACATTTATCCCTCACCTGGGTCAGTGGGTCGGCAACAAAATTAGCCCTTATGGAGTCCCACTGATGAGACCATGGAGGCTCTTAAGTGTGTAACTCACCCCAGGGTGGTCCAGCCAGCAGTGGCCAAGCTCTCCTGATTACAGCTTCTTCCCAGGGGTGTGCTGTAGACAAACCTCGATGGGACCAACACAGGCCTCTGAGGCTGCCCAGCCACCGCTCCCATGCCATCTCTGAAGCTGGGCTTGTTGGTGCTGACACTTGCCACTTTCAAGCCGCCCAGAATCCAGCCTTACAGTGTGGAGCCTCATGCTGTTCATGACAGAGGCAGCCACGACAGTGGTGGGCTTCCTCCTTTAAAGGAAGTTAGTTACTGGAGGTGTTCTTGGCTCCTTGTGAGCTGTGAGGGAAGACAAGGACCGAGTCCAGTCTCATGAGCTTCGTGACTGATGGGAACAGCCAAGCTATCATTTCAGAAACAGCATCTCAGCCTCTTGGTCCATTGGGTAGAGGGTGAAAGAGCACAGAGTTTTGAAAGAATAGGAAGGTTCTTTTCTGTATCCCTGGCTGCCTGAAAAATAGTTGACTTGCCTCTGCTATTCAGGGCTTTCCATGGGTAACTTGTATTGTTTGACTTTATTTCAAAAGAACTTACACGATAAGGCATATTTAATTTAGAATCATCTATGTTCCTTCTCAACCCTTCTTGAATTTTGAGAATCTGCAGCTGTTTAGTACATTTTTCTGCCCTGGATTCCTGGAGGGACCTGTATTAGTTTTCTATTGCTGCTGTAACAAATTACCACAAATTTAATGGCTTAAAACACAAATTTATTATAATTCTGGAGGTCAGAAATCCTCAGTTAGTGGCTAAAAGCAAGGTGTCATCAGGGCTTCGTCCTTCTGGAGGCTCCAGGGTCTAATCCTTCCCTAGCCTTTTCCAGCTCATGGAGGCCACCTACAGTCCTCATCTTGTGGCCCCTTCCTTCATCTTCAGAGACCTCTGACTTCTGCTTCTTTGTCACACCTTTGACCTGTCCTCTCCTGTCTCCCACTCAGTATGACCCTTGTGATTTCATTGAGCCCACCTGGGTAATCCAGGACAGTTAACCTCCCCATCTCAAACTTCTTAACTCACCTCTGCAAAGTCCCCTTTGCCATGAAAGGTGACATAGTCACAGGTTCCAGGGATGAAAATGTGAAGAGTTTTGAGGGGCCATTATTCACCTGGCACTCAACCCGTGCACCCCACTTCACTAAGACACTCAAATCCTGATACGCTGTTTCACACGCTCCTCCCCCTGCCTATGCTTGCCCATCCTTCTTTTCTGTCGTCGTAGGTGGGAGAGGTGCTGTGCCAGCTTAAAGCCAGTCACTCCACCTGGTCCATCACAGGGTCCTCATGATCCATCCTCTGGCTCAAGCCGATGGACACTTCGCTCCTTTTATTTCCCCTCTCAGGATATGGCATGCTTGGATGGATTGAAACCCTTTCCCCCCTTAGCTTCCCTGTGACCCCTTGTGTCCCTTCTCTGCTCTCTGGACCATCCCACAGTGGGATGATGGGAGAATATGGAGGCTGTGGGCACCTGACACCCTAAACCACTGCCGGTCACACAGAACGCCTCACCTCGTCACTAGCCATCTGGTGGGGTGCCTCAGGGTAGAGACTATATTTGCTCAGACTATGTTGGATTACATTTTCTAATTGGATCACCCCTACTTTTGCCCTGCTGGCCCAAGATCAAAACAAAACAAAACAAACGTAAAAAAAAAAAAAACCAAGGTGATCCTCGAAAACAGTCATGAGGTGATTGATCTCTCAGTTCCTAGCTTCCACTGTTGAGACACAACCCACCCTTGACCTTTGAAATAAAGGTGAACCAGGCCCTTGTACTTCAGCAGTTGAGGGAGGAAAGAAAGAGAATCTAGTAAGGAAAAGGCCAAGATACAGCATCTCTTTTCATAAGTGAAGATTCCTGGTTCCCACCCCAGCCTTAAAGAATCTTAAGTATTTCCAGCCGAGGATTGTTTAGCCCTAGGAATCCAACTCTTCAATGCTGACATTGGGAACCCCTGAGTCAGGAGCTCCCAGCAAAGAGAGCATTCCTTGCCAAAGACACACTGTGAGCCTCATTCCCAAAGCTCAGCCCCCAGTGTGGTAACCCAAACACCAAGACGATGTCCATTTTCCTAGAGGTGGAAGGGACAGGAGCTCTTTTCGGGGTGGAGAGACTCCACTGAGGACCCAAGTCTGGATCTGGATCACTTCTCTTCCTGAGCTCCACTCACCACAGTCTCGCGGTATCTAGGCCAGCAGGCCCATGTCTGAGTCAGCATGGCCCAGGGGGAACACATCATCTCCCTCTGTGTAAACTGCTCCTGCCCCTGCCCTCTCTTCCTATATGAGGGGGCCCGCCACCCACCTAGCTGTCAAGACAGAAACATGGAGGCAGTGGACAGGGATCAAGTTGATGAGGGGACACAGCACTGCCATAATCAGAGTCAACTAACGTTTTGAGGAGTTTGCCCGAGGTCATACAGATTATACCAATAGTAACGAAGCTAGCCTTGAACTCGGGTCTTTGGAGTGCGCGGTTCCTTACTCATCTTTCTATTCCGTGCTGCCTTTCCATGAGGAGTGGGAGACGTGGGCTTGGGTTTCCGTGAGCATGGCTGTTCAGTTGTATGAGGATTGTCCCGTGGAAGAATCAGCTTGCCCTGCACGACCCCAAATGTAGACCCAAGACCAATGAACGGTGTCTTCAGAGAGGTGCGTAGGTAAATGCAAGCTGAGGAAGTTTTGACTCACAGCTGTTCACGCCAGATCGAGTGTCCAGTCCTCAGGTTCTGTGATTTGTGACACCACCGACGGAGCCTGGTGGCGCTCGTAACTGTAATCCTTATAAAGTTGGTCTCCATGTAATCCAGTTCCAGAGTGCCATGTTCTGAGAAACAGTTTGGCAAACAAAATGCCCAGGAGTGCTTCATGAACAGTCTTACACGCTTCACAGCAGTGTTGATTATGTCTTAAAACCCCCGTTTCCAACCGTGGCTGGCGTGGCTTAGTGGATTGAACACCAGCCTGCAAACTAAAGGGTCACTGGTTCAATTCCCAATCAGGGCACATACCTGAGTTGGGGGCCAGAGGATGTTCAATAGGCAACAATATATTGATGCTTCTCTCTCTTTCTCCCTCCCTTCCCCTCTCTCTAAAAATAAATAAAATCTTAAATATTCTTTCCTATCCATGTCACCTAATCCCTCAGCAAGGTCTGCTCTTCTTAATTCTCTTTGGAAACTCAGCCCCAGTTGTTTCTCTCCCCTTCTTTTTTTTTTCCCCTAATTTCTTTATCACCCTAGCTCTAATATTTACTTGTTTTGGTAAGGTAGGGGGTAATTTGGGTTGGAGGGCCCTATGGAAATCTAATGAACTGGCCCATTCTGGGTACAGACTGACTTTCCTTCTTTGTGCAGAGGTAAAGGGTGCACCTGTCTCCCTCACTGTCCACATCCGGTCCAATCATCTAATGGAAGTGTGCGAGGCTTGAGGCTGGAGGTGGCCGCGCATGCGGATTGAGTTGAGGGTCGTTGGGGAGCCATCCAGTTGGATCAGATTCTACCCTCTAAACGTTTTAGAACGTGCGCCTTGCTCTCTTGCTCTCTTCCACACGTCAACATGTCTCTTTAGGCCAGCTTTGAGTCTTACATGATTTTTAAAAATCCTTCCCTGAGGAGATTTTTCACTGATTTTAGAGAGAGAGGAAGGGAGAGAGAAGCATCAATCGGTTGCCTTTCATATGCACCCGAACAGCGATTGAGCCTGCAACGTAGGTAGGTGCCCTGACTGGGAATCGAACCCACAACCTTTTGGTGTATGGGACGATGCTCCAACCAATGGAGCCACACAGGCCAGGGCCAAATTTTACAAGAATTTCTTCAGTTCTCCTTTCAAGTTTCAGAATTTTAACATCTACGCCACTTCAGCACTTGGTGTAGATGGCCACACTGCCCTGTACCTCAAACTCTTCCTTTGCTTATCCAGAGCTGTGGAAGCTCTTTACTATAAACACAGAGCTTTCTAAAATTTTCCCGGAAGTCACATCTGACCACTCCTCTTAGTCCTCATGGTTTGCCAGCTGTCCTCAATTTAATCCAAGCTCCCGCTCCTAGCGGTTGAGGCCCTCCCTCGGGGGCTCTGGGACCCCTCTGGCTTCGTCCATTTCTCCGAACCCCTTACCTACAGGCCGTCCCCCACCCTTCCCCCTGTTGAAACTTTGCTCAGGCTGTGCTTTCCCCTGGGGATGTCTTTTCCTCCTCTGGGCTACCTGACAGATACCCCCACACCTTTCAGAACTTAAGCATCGTCTCTTTAGGGAAGCTGGGACTCCCTCCAATGAGTGCTCCGTGTTTTGTGCACCTCTCTTCCCTCAACAGACCTTCGCCTGCAAATTCCTCTGCATCCACTCCACCTTCTTCCCACCCAGACCGAGCACTGGCAGTGGCTGGGTTTCTATCTGTCATTGGCAGGCTGTCCTGGGCTGGACCCACCACCAACCATAGTAAATGCTGAATGAAAGTACTACTGGGGCCCTCAGACTCTTTAGGGAGACCTGGTGCACTGGAATTGGATGAACCTGGGTTAAAATACAAACACTGTTAAGAACTGTCAGCTGGTGGGCAAGCCATCGGAATTCTGAGCCCGACTTCCTCCGCTCTACCTACCCATAGGATTCAGCATAATAACCTGTGAGGTTTCTGGTAAAGTGCCTGGCTTCCTGTAAGGGCTCAAATATGTATCACCCTTGCATCCAAGAAGTAGAGGAGGAAAAAGTGTCCAGTTAGTGAGCAGAGGGGATGTAAGGGGGCCAGGAGTCCCCAGTGTGCTTGGGTTTCTAAAACAGGGCTGGCCACCTGCTCTGTCCTGAGTGAAGTCAAGTTGAGGCAGTGGGGGTGCGGTGACAGATCACAGGCCCCCAAGGCCTTGCAAGCTCTCCCCTGGCTGCTGGAATGGACCAGCCCCCAGTGACATCACAATCCTCAGTGGTTGCCAAGGCGCTGCTGGAGGTGGGCCCTCCTTTCCCTCCGCGGAGCTCTAGGATGTGATGTGAGAAAGGTGAGCAAGGAAGGCAGATGGCTACGAGGAACAGCCAGAGCCCCGTGCCCATGGGCACGGCTCAGGGTGACCCTGGAGAGGCAGGAATACTGTCAGCTCCCAATGCCGGCATTCGGGACACAGGTTCAGCTACTCAGCTGAAGATGAAGCCCAAGTATGTGCGCAAGATCAAGGCGCTCGTTATCGACCTGGGCTCGCAGTACTGCAAGTGTGGCTATGCGGGAGAGCCGAGGCCCACCTACTTCATCTCCTCCACGGTGGGCAAGCGCTACTCTGAGGCAGCTGATGTGGGTGATGCCCGCAAGGAAACCTACGTGGGCCATGAGCTGCTCAACATGGAGGCACCCCTGAAGCTAGTTAACCCTCTAAAATGCGGCGTTGTGGTGGACTGGGACTGCGTCCAGAACATCTGGGAGTACATCTTCCACACGGCCATGAAGATCTCCCCCCAGGAGCATGCTGTGCTGGTGTCCGACCCGCCACTCAGCCCCAGCAGTAACCGGGAGAAGTATGCAGAGCTCATGTTCGAGACCTTCAGCATCCCCGCCATGCACGTGGCGTCCCAGTCGCTGCTCTCCATTTACTCCTACGGCAAGACCACGGGGCTGGTGGTGGAGAGCGGGCACGGCGTCTCGCACGTGGTCCCCATCTCAGAGGGCAACGTCCTGCCAGGCCTGACTGGCCGTGTCGACTATGCCGGGAGCGACCTCACCAACTACCTGCTGCAGCTGCTCAATGAGGCCGGCCACAAGTTCACTGACGACCACCTGCACATCATCGAGCACATCAAGAAGACGTGCTGCTACTCGGCTTTGCTGCCGGAGAAGGAGCTCGGTCTGTGCCTAGAAGAGCTGCGCGTGGACTACGAGCTCCCCGATGGCAAGCTCATCACCATTGGCCGTGAGCGTGTGCAGTGCGCAGAGATGCTCTTCAAGCCCACCCTGGTGGGCAGCTCCCAGCCCGGCCTCCCTGCGCTCACAGCGACTTGCCTGGGCTGCTGCCAGGGGGACGGCTTCAAGGAGGAGATGGCCGCCAACGTGCTGCTGTGCGGCGGCTGCACCATGCTGGACGGCTTTCCTGAGCGCTTCCAGAGGGAGCTGAGCCTCCTGTGTCCTGGTGACAGCCCCACTGTGGCTGCTGCACCCGAGAGGAAGACGTCCGTGTGGACGGGAGGCTCCATCCTGGCATCCCTGCAGGCGTTCCAGCAGCTCTGGGTCAGCAAGGAAGAGTTTGAGGAGCGGGGCAGTGTGGCCATCTACACCAAGTGCTGAGCAGTGGTGCCCGGACCCGCCAGGCCTTTGGGGATGACCTCAGGCCACTCTATACATTTACAGAATTTCACATAAAATTTTAATGCAATGCTCTTGTCTAGTCTGGACTTCTTGCTTTGGTCTGATAGCAGAAGGTGGCGGTGAGTTAGAAGTACAGGTAGGAGCACCTTTTGCTTTGTTGAATGGGGAGCAGCAGGGGTGGGAGGTAGGTGGGTGGGGCTCTCACTGGCCCCTCCCCTCATGAGGGTGACAGCCTCTCAGAGCCCAGAGTGCTGCTTCCTGTTTCATTAGTTCCTTGGAGGAAAACCCAACTCAGCAGACACATTGCTTCCTCGCCCAACCATGGACCAAGGGGGATAAGAGGGCTCAAGTTAAGGGACTAGTTGAGTCCCTTATTTAAGTCCCTTGGGTCACATGGTTAAGTGGTGGGGGGACACTCACCACCAGGTGTATGATGTCCAGCTCCTGTTTCTTCCACGGTCACCTGTCCAGAGCTTCATCACTGCCTGATTGCCCTAGGCTCCCTCAGTGCCCCTTCAAAGGTGCAGCCCACAGGTATGTGTCTCCTGAGTGTGAGGGGCCATTTCTGCCCACCCACCTTTTGACTTCAGCCAAAAAATTGCAGCTTTTTTTTAAGTCACAAAGTAGAGCCGCTGAAACCACAGGCTGTTGAAGGACCTAAAGGGTCCTTTGGAAATCATGTGGTTCTCTCCCTCCCGTAGAGATGGGGAAACTAAGGACCAGGAGGGAGGGGCTATGTTGGATGAATCCAGGTCTCCTGACCCAGGTCACAATTATTTCCAGAAGGACAAACACAGATGAGGTGACTTATAAACAACAGAAATGTATTTCTCTCGTTCTGGAGACTGGAAGTCCAAGACTGGGGTGCCAGTGTGGCCCGGTTTCGGTGAAGGTCCTCTTCTGGGTTGCAGACTGCCGACGTCTCGCTGTGTTCTCATGGTGGAAGGGAGGAGGGATCTCTCTGGGGCCTTGTAGAGGGCGCTGATGCCTTTCCTGACGACTTCGCCCTCGTGACTTAATCATCCCTTGAAGGCCCCATCTGATATCTTGGGCGTGAGGTTTTCAACACATGAATTTGGGAGGTGGGGTGGAACACAAACATTCAACCTACAGCAATGATTCTTAGTGGTTAGCGCCCATTAAGCACTTACCAAGCATCTACTATGGGGCCCAGAGCTGGGGACTGAGAAATGACTGGGATGTGGCCCTTCCCTCAGAATCACTCAGACACAGCTAGTGGGGGGTTCCGTGGACATGACATTGGTAAGGAGACAGGCCTGAGCTCAGGCAGAGTTCTTGGGGTGGGAAGGTGGTGTGTTGGAAAGCCATAAATGGAGGAGTGATAGGCATGGTGGCCACTTAGGGCCTTTGGGGCTGAGGGAGACGTGTCCGAGTCTTGTGAGACTTCAGCTGGCGAATGACAGTCCACCTAGAAGATGATGCTTTCTGCCTCTCTTTCCACCCTAACATCCTGATGGAGCCTATGACCAGGGGCCCATGTGACCAGGTGTCCATGGGATCTAACATGTGAGCTCACATGTAATCTGATGGGCTGCCAAACGTCTCTGAGCCTCCTCTTATCTTAGACCTGTTTGGGGGCACTTTGCAAGGGTCCTTCTGCCCTGGAACTGTACCAGGGGCTACAGACTTGGCAAAGAGCCAGACACAGACGTAATTGCTTAGCACCTTACTATCCAGTCCCTCCCCATTGCCCAGAATCAGGCTTCTAGCCTGGAGTTTGTGTTCCCCTGGAATCTTGTGTACCTTGGGATCTTCCCCAGGGGCTGCAGACTGGAGGCCTGAGACTCACAGATTTGGTGTGGCTAGCACAGTGTATAATTATTTTACCTAAATGCAATTTTTTTTTTTACTGGGACCTGTACTATTCAGATTGCCAAAGTCTCTACCACCCTGATGTCTCATACATATTTGCTCTTCATCATCTTTTGCTTAATTAGACAGCACTCATTTCCATTGCTTGCAACCCAAGAACCTTTGATCGTTACTGACCCTAAAAACCTGATGAGGTACACAGAGGGAAGCAGAGGCTTGTAGAGGGGAAAGTGATGTGCCCCAAACCACACAGGCAGTAAATGAGAGTTGCTTGTGAACCCTCTTCCACGTGCTGGCCTTGGAGATCTCCAAAGCCCATGTCCGTGTCTACCTCTCCCGACCCCATCCCCTCCTCCTCATCCACACACCCTCAGCAACCTCCCCTGTCCCCACAGTCACAGCCTCAGTGTCCCCATCAAGTGCTCACCTCCTCCAAAAAAGCGTCCCTTGTGGGGCAGAGCCTGTACAAACACTGATGAAGTCATCCCTGATGTGAAATTTATTTAAGCCAACCACAGGCACAACAGGGGGTTTAGTCTGGGTGGGAAAGTGCGGGTCAGCGATTTCAGTGTCAGATGACTTTTTTGTGTATATCCTCTCCCTCCTAAAACTGAAAGTGATGGCGGAGGAATATAGGTGTATAATCTCACTGCAGCGAGGAGGATGGCAGGGGGACTACAGGCGCCTAGAGATCTCACCCCGCGACCCTGGAAGAAGGAAAGTAGGTGCAGCACGGGAGGGCTGCAGCCGGAAGCACGCACGGTGCTCCCCGCAGGGGAGGGCAGCTTCCTGTTCTGAAGAACGCGAAGTGGGTTGGGACTTGAAATGCCAAGTGGAGGAGGAATAGGAGTGAAGTACGCGAGACAAATGGGATAAGGCAGGGGTGGTAACGAAAGGTCTCTGAGAACACAGTGCCCCTCTCACTCGCCATCGGTAGAGAGGTAACATGGCCAGCTTCTAAGTGTCCAACTAAATTCTGACACATATACAAACAAACACATACAAATAAAATTAAAGAATTCTCCATGAAGGCGGTGCCAGCAGAGGGAAGAGTAGAGGAGCATAGAAGTGCAGGTCATGATCCCTGCCTGTGTCCTTTTAAACCTCGGGACACTTGTACCCAGCTAACATCCCCCAGGGGGAACCTATAGTTGATGCCTTCATGTCCTCTTGGTCCCTTTCCCACATCTCCCAGTTTCTGCATGGACACCACACCTGGCCCCGGGCTGTCTGCCACGGGTGGGTCATGTGACCGGAGCTGAGCCAATCAGAGCCGTACGTCTGCCTGGCCACAACCATCGCCTGCGGGTGAACCTGAGACTTCAGTGCGTGGGAGCTGAGGGAATTGGCCTGGAAGACTGGCCTGAGACTGGGGTGTGTGGCCTAGAACTGTTGCAACCACGTTTGTTATCGGGACGGAGCCCGCTGGAAGCTGACGCACGAAGGGGCGTAAAACTCAGGGCGCTGTATCCTGACGACAAAGTGCCCTCCAAATGAAACCGCGCCCAGGGCGCCCTCTACCGTCAGACTTTTTGTTTCTGCGATTCCGGCCCGTGGCCCGGCTGCTCAGGTAAGAGTGCGTTTTGCTGTTCACCGCCGAGAAGGTGCTTGCTGCGTCTGTTCCTTTCTCCAAAGGGATGCTCCTTGGGACCCATTTCCGATGCCAAGGGGCCAGGCCTGGAGAGGCTTGTTACAACGGAAACATTAAGCCCAGCACTTCATTTATTCCCCAACAAAAAAGCTACTACACACGATGAATTTTTTATCAAGGCAGTAGGGAATTTAGTCTCTTGTTTAGATACTTGTTTCTGAGGTTGGACTTGGAGCTTCTTCAGGGCAGGAACTTCGATTCCCTTGACTTCGTCGTCTGTGTGCCCAGGGCGGACCCCGACACAGGGTGGATGCTCAGTACCGGCCAGCTGAACCGACCTAACTCCCAGTGTATGAGGGAGAGGTTCCAGCGTTTTCTCCCACGTTACAGAGGAGGACTCTGAGCCTTGGAAAGGTTGAGTCTTGTCCATGTTCACCGGCCTGGTAAATCAGCCTCGTGCTAAATCGAAATTTTGTGATTTCCAAATGCTCTTTGCCCTTGTTGTCTCTCTGTAAATTATCAGTCTCTTTTATAAGAAAAAGGGACATGTAAGAATTGCTTTCAAGTCACGAACAGCAAATATGCCTGAATTTTATATTCATCCCGAGGTCTGAAAGTTAAGAATACCGATCTTTAAGCAAAGGAGAGATGTGTCTTGCCCGAGGCAGAAATAAGCAAGTATTAGGGTGACATCGTGTGGTGAAGTCCTGCTACTGAGGCGTCATCGCAGGAGGCCGTTCTCAGCGCCTCTGGGCAGCTGGTCTCTCTCCTCCAGGTGTTCAGGACCAAGTGAGCTCTAAGGGTTATCTGCCTAAGGTGGGCTTAAGCAATCAATGAATTAGTTTAATTACAATACAAACTACTAATGGTGTTCTCTTTGATAAAAAGTGTTTTTTTCTCTTTTGGTCCTACGTTTTCTTGTAATGCAGTGGATCTTAACCAGAGGGAAGAGGGGAGTGGGGTACTGGTTATGCTGGAGCTAGTTCTTCATGGCTTTTGAGAGCCCACTGTTAACCATTCAGAGATTTTGCAAGCCGGTTGTTAAACTGTTACAGCTTGAAAGTTTGAAAGAGGCCAGGGTGGGAGTATTTACCCTCACAGAAATCAGCAAGGATTAGCATCCTGTCCCCTACTTCCCTCCCACCCAAGAGTTTGTTTAAAGGGGGAACAGAGGAGCTGGAGAAAAATGGTGGGCAGCAGAACCATCCAGGGAGCTCTTTCAAAACCAAACCCACCCCATGTGTACCTCCCGCCCCAGACTGAATGAGTAGATCTCGGAAGCCACTGATAAGTTCCTCAGGTGGTGCTAACAGACACTGTAATGGAGAGGCTGCTCAAAAGAGTGCAAGGTACACAGTGAGCAAATGTCAGTGTTTAGAAATAAACCAGAAGGGGTGGCTGTGTGTGGGACCAGCCAGAGTTACGGAGTGACTAAGGGTCAGAATACCTTTCACCGCCTGTCTCCGCTCCACTCATCCTTCGAGGCACAGCCCCAGTGTCCACTCCTCTGGAAGGTATTCCCTGATACACCCAGCGCAGGTGCCTTCTCCCAGCA